TCTGCCCAACGAGGAGTACTGCTTGGCAACAGCATCATGTTCACCACAAGGGTCTTGCAAGAAGACTGTGCATCTGCCCCCGTCAACCAGATGTCTGCCCAACGAGGAGTACTGCTTGGCAACAGCATCATGTTCACCACAAGGGTCTTGCAAGAAGACTGTGCATCTGCCCCCGTCAACCAGATGTCTGCCCAACGAGGAGTACTGCTTGGCAACAGCATCATGTTCACCACAAGGGTCTTGCAAGAAGACTGTGCATCTGCCCCCGTCAACCAGATGTCTGCCCAACGAGGAGTACTGCTTGGCGACAGCATCATGTTCACCACAAGGGTCTTGCAAGAAGACTGTGCATCTGCCCCCGTCAACCAGATGTCTGCCCAACGAGGAGTACTGCTTGGCGACAGCATCATGTTCACCACAAGGGTCTTGCAAGAAGACTGTGCCCCCGTCAACCAGATGTCTGCCCCCGTCAACCAGACTGTCTGCCCAACGAGGAGTACTGCTTGGCAACAGCATCATGTTCACCACAAGGGTCTTGCAAGAAGACTGTGCATCTGCCCCCGTCAACCAGATGTCTGCCCAACGAGGAGTACTGCTTGGCAACAGCATCATGTTCACCACAAGGGTCTTGCAAGAAGACTGTGCATCTGCCCCCGTCAACCAGATGTCTGCCCAACGAGGAGTACTGCTTGGCGACAGCATCATGTTCACCACAAGGGTCTTGCAAGAAGACTGTGAATCTGCCCCCGTCAACCAGATGTCTGCCCAACGAGGAGTACTGCTTGGCGACAGCATCATGTTCACCACAAGGGTCTTGCAAGAAGACTGTGAATCTGCCCCCGTCAACCAGATGTCTGCCCAACGAGGAGTACTGCTTGCAGCGAGACGCCTGTGTGCCCTGGGGCAAGAGTGCTGGACCTGTACTCCGCCCCCCAGCCAAGATCATGAGCTGCTCCTTTGAACAGGTGCGCAATACAACCTGTTATGGTTAATGAAAATGGCGTAACTTTATGTCAGTCTCGTATAATAAAAATATGTTTTAGTATAGGTTTATCCAAGTGTGAATCACAGCAGTATACTAGGATAATGTAATAGAGGCCCCACAAAGTGATTGGTTATCGGAATTGAAGAATGTTATCCCGTCAATTTTGAGAAAACTATCACCGGGAAGATACCAGAAATTAAACATCAGTACCAGTTTTGGCTCTAAGGTCACGATATTGGTAATCTTGCATGACCCGGTTAGATGAGGTGAAGTTAGAGGGCGCCTGAGGTTTTGAAACACGTAACGAGGTTAGCTATACACTAGTCCATCAACAATTAAAAATTATGAAAGAGAACCTATTTGAGAGAACAGGAGTGCGTTGGAGTCTACTCGTTTGTACCCTCTGCCCCCACGATTTCCCTTCACATTGATGTCAGCGCACAGGCCCAACTCCTGGCGCTGGTTGGTCGGCCAAGAACAATGTTGCCAGATAGGTCCAGCTGGCGTTCGACTAGTCTTAACAGTACAGTAAATATATCTTGACAACTACCACACACTAAGTAAAGGGCGACAATGTATCAGGCGGCAGGTATAAACACTGATCACTTGTAAACTGTCACTAATAGGCCACGTCTATGATAAATACTTAATACTAAAATAAAATTTTCAGGGTGGTTTTATGCAAATTGTTATGTATATTTTCTCACAAAGATATGCGTTGTGTAAAGTTTAAACACATTTTTGGCATGTTCCATGCTGAGGTAAGCCTTTCCTGGCTTGTTGAGTGGTGTTATGAATTACCGGATTCCCTCTTTTATTTCGCTAAGCGGTTAAAACAGTTGCTGGACCTTTTTCGTTCTTCTAAACATTTCTATGAGAAAAAAAAATCAAATTTTAAGAGCTTATATAAAGTATCAATAACACTGAAAAGTGGAACTGAAGTAAACTTAAAGAATGTTTGATTCAATTAAAAGAAATGTAATGAAATTAGGTACTGTATGTATACAGTTCAGAGATTTCGTGGAAGCGTAGGACATGTTGCAGTACCTAAACTGATTTAGTTCGTTCCTACGAGAGGAGAAAATGTCTGTCGGGTTAGGGTTGGCAGCCCTGGTAGACACGACACGTTTTGTTAAAAAAGTCGGATACATTTTCTTGGTTAAATCCATTTGTATGTCTTTGGGGCAGGGCGTGAAGATGTTCTCATGTAGAGGAGTGAGTGATATTCACAGCTCCCCATTGCCTGAGGCCTAGGTGAGCTGTGGGTGTACAGTACAAGGTGCTCACCGCTACTCACTACTCTTGAAATAGGCTGTACGACAGATGCAGTATTATACATTCGTCCGTCACTAAACTGATTTGTGACATGTGCTAAGCACATTGTAGTTTTGTCCGATCAATTTAACGTTATATAATTATTTAACGAGTCGAATGCGTGCCTGATATAATATTTACGTTGTTGCAGTATTTTTTCTGATTAAGATAAAATAAAAATTCAGTGATAAAGATTAAGTAGTTGAATTGTGTAGTTATTTGTTAGTTAATGAAAAATCATGTCAGTGATAATATTATCTTTATTGTCTACACAATTCTATGACTGAGGTAGTAGGAGAATAAGTTAATAGGTTGAGGTTGTGACTTGAGTTCCTCTTGGTGAAGGTGTTTAGCCTGGGTACTGGGTCGTGCGTAGTGGAGGGTGGGCGTGGCCAGCCTGCTAACTCCGCCCGTCGCCCTCACACCAGCTGCCCTCCGGGGAAAGTAAGTTGAGCACCGTTACAAGTAGTACACTCCACGCTAGAAACGCGAGTCTCAACTGTAACAGGCGAGACTCGAGGAGTGTACTGGTTGCTCAAAAGTGTTAACACGTTGAGTGTGTGTTGCACAATGCACATTTCAAAACAAGTGTTTATTGGTTGGTGTAAATTACTTTATCACACTGGATAATTTGCTAAAAATTGCCATCAACTGCTTTTCGAATGCTTTTTTTTTCAGTATAAGAGGTTCTGTACATCACAACCCGCGAAGGGCCAAGCGCTTGCCACACTGTGTGTTGTTTAGTTTGGGCGGGAAAATAATGGTTTAATAGCACATTTTCACTAGATATTTTTCCAAGTTTTTTTTTTTCATATTTATAATTTGCATCAATGAATAAGTTTATTTTTTTAATAAAATTAATGAAAGTGAAGAGCAAGAATAATTCATCACATGTGGCATCGTTCATGTTGCACATTCCAATTATATGTATTCTCGCTGTTTTATTGTATTCGTGTCCGCTCTCAGTACTGGACGTTTGTAACATTTTCTAATGGTATTTTTCTTGAGATTTGATATGATGGTAACATTTACACATTGTCAAGAGAGTACACATTACTATTATGTACATTATCTTTACCTTCCTCCACTTTATGGCACTAAAATATTAACAAAATTGCTCTGGACAAGACTATCAAGGACTATGGGGGGATCCTACACAAGCCACTGGTCTCCTTCCCCGCCACGGTCACTTCTGGATGGGGTCGCCATTAGGTAAATTAGGTATAGTAGAGGACAAATCCATACATAAAAGTAACAGAAAGAGAAGAAAGATAAGAATATATATATGGAAAAATAACAATAAAGAGAATGAGTAGCAAAAATGAAGAAATGGAAGAAAAACTAAGTGAATATACAGAAGAAATAGAGAAGTGAAAATAGAGGTGCAGTAACAGACGAAATAAGGAGGAAAAAGGAGAGGTAGTTATAAAATAAATAGAAATTAAAAGTGATTTAGTCATGTGTGTGGCGTTAGAACAGGGAGGGAGTAAATGAACGTCTTGGTATCCCCCTCCCCACCACGCCTCGTAGTTTGCCACCACAGATACCAACGTGCCCTCACCCTCTGCCCTTGTACGTGACACACTCCACTCACCAAGACGAAGAATTTAGGATCATTGATATATAACTTGTTTAGTTTATGTTGTTTTATAAGAAAAAAAAAGGGATTTGTGGAGATTTGGTGTTTTGCGTAATACCGGATGATGTGTGTTTTGAAGTTGCTGAAGTAGGTTGATGTACATTGTTAGGAAATGTGATGTTTTTGATAACTTAGTGTTGTGTGTGTGTGTGTGGTTAGACTTAATAGGGCCAATTAAAGATATAAAACCACAGTAACTTATGAGGTATGAGAGTTCAGGAACTGTGGCCAATAAAGCGGACACCCCTTTAACAATGACGCACTGAACCAATCGAGGATGGTGTATGGCCTCCATGTGTCAGCAGTTGTTAACCTTGGCCACCAAAGTCTAACGCACATTTCAACAATGATCGTCGGAGAAAAATTTAGGTTAGATTGTGATAGTCTAGATATAATCGTCGTAGTTGTATGGAATAAATGTGGCAGCGGACATTCACATGGGATCCAAACGGGTGTGGTGGAACGTGGGGCATATATTATTGTAGCTCTTCAATGCTTTAAGCATAAACAATCTTTTGTGTCCAGCAGTAGAACACTAAGTTTGTAAAAGAAGTTATGGGTAATAAAGTTGTAGGTAATTATTACTCAAGTAGTTGTAGTTAAGGAGTCATATCAGGCGTCTAGAGTTAACAACATACTTTTTAAGGAACCTGTGTGGCATGCCAACTTATACATAAATTAAACGCTAAGTTACGGGGCGCAACGTTGACTTGACATTAATTTATAGACCACAAACACATTATAACTGTCTTCTTTACACACACACACACACACACACACGTGTTGATTATTTCATAGCATATAATTTTCATGTCAAATTCAACATCCTGTTAACTTCTTTGTGAACTCTCTCTCGTTGATGGCGGCCATATGTTGAAGCTAACACAATAGTCCTGAGTACTCGAGACACCAGCTGTATATTGCTCGGTAACCTTCCGCTGTGTGCTGAGCTTTTCGGACTGGCTTGAGTTTATTCTCGCTTTCATATTTACATTACTTTGATGGGAAGTAAGATAGTCGGGAATGAGGATATGTGGTAACTTGAGGCACCGTCTCCACCAGGTGCCGTGTCTGGAGACAGGCAGGTGCGCTCCGGAGGGAAAGTGTGAGAAGTCTCGGCCCCCATCTCTTGGGTCCACCTGTCCTCCCGATGAGGAATTCTGCCTGAGTCGAGACTCCTGTGTACCCCGGGGCAGGTGTGCCGGACCTGTCCTCCGCCCCCCAGCCAAGATGATGAGCTGCGCCCCTGGACAGGTGTGCAATAACCAATTGTCATTATTAATGAAAATTATTTAACTTTGTGTCGAGTTTGTACAGAGCAAAATATTGTAGGCTTAACCAATTGTTATGGACCGCATAATATATGGAGAAGATAGGTAGCTATAATGTAAATATTTAGCGGCCCCTTATAGTTCTTAGCTGTGAGAATTTATGAATGCAAGTACTGTTACATTACTCGGTTACCACATACCATGTACTACACAGTATCATCAGAATCAATAACTTTCCCTCCCTCCACTATGACACTGAAATATCTGCAACAGAGTAACTAAACTAACGACACACGTGTCCCTGGTATTTAGGATATATAATATTTAGCCTAAAAGTGGAAGGCTCCAAAGAAAAAATAAGAATGAAATATAATGAGAGTAATCTATGAGAATTTCTACCAAGCTCATTTGTGTGTTGCACTACATTTTTCTGCTGCACTTAAGCTCCTGTGTGTGGCTACGGGCACTTGCAAGAGAGCGAGCGAGTGTGGGAGTGTTGGCAGCCCTGGAAGAGGGAAGCCCATGTCATCAGAGATCTGTCCACCTAACAAGGTAATACTGATATGTTTTGTTTCATTTTTCTCATCTCTTTGCCTGTTTAATATCGACAAATCCCAGTGACAGTTTGGTAATACCGCCATGTATTGAATGTTTAGGAAATTCAGTACCGGTTTTATCTTGTATGTGTACGATAATATTTAAATGGTTTTACCAGATTTTTTTTACTTCACAATTTTTATACGTTTCATAGCTTGTATATTTGCATCATATGGCTTCAAATGTAAAGCTGGGGAACATCGATGAATCTTGGGAGAGAAGTTGAAATTCAGAAATTTAAATGAAATTTGGTGTGTATTCGACCAGCCGCATCGATGATAACTAATGTCAAATACCATAAGCTGTAGATCATGTACACATAGGTACCATACTCTTGACTGACCCTGACCTTTCCACAGCGTATAATTATCGAGGCTAATTTACGAGTCATACACTACCGGGTAACTTTTGGCAGTGACCACTTGCTGCCAGGCGTACCAACACTACAGCAGCGGTAGTGGTGCGAGGTGTTTTTAGAGAGCTGCGACACCACCATCAACCAGCTTAGTCATAATTACCACAATCAACCTCACTATAACCCCCCCCTTCCTTCCTTCCTTTCCTAATCCTGCCTTTGTTCAGCGACGCTAGTCTTGATTATACTGTTCTCCATTCTTCCTCCCCCCCTATGCCTTCTCCACCCCCTCTCATTCTCTTCCCTCCTAATATATCTCCCCCTTCCATTTTGTTGCACCTGCCCCATACCATTTTACCTGCATCCCCCTTCTCCCTTCCACTTCCCTCTTTCTTCTATCTTCCTCTGTCTTCCTCTTCTCTCCATCCACCTACACGTATCTCCCATCTTCATGCTCTCCCCTTTTTCATCTACCTGTACCATTTCCCCTTCTTTTCCATCGACATATCCCTTTCCCCCTTCCGTCAACTTCCTCAGTCCACCTGCTCTCTCCCTCCCCCCCCCTCCCCCACACTGCTCCCTCAGCGTGACGTGATGGGGGTGACGCCGCCGGGAGAGAAACCATTGACAACGCCACGCGAGTCAGACTGAGTCACTGTGGGTTAGACTGAGTCACTGTGGGTCAGGCTGAGTCATACTGGGCCAGGCTGAGTGAAAAAGGGGAGGGTGTAAAGGGGAACATGAGGGGAAGATATGGCAATTAGGGGAGGGAGTGAAGCTTAAATTTGCTTAGATATCGCAGGTACGACAGTGTTACGTGTCCCTGAAGTAAGTAACTGATCGATCTTTGCTACTTGTGACGCACTCGTGGTACTCCTTACGCCACCGAGGAATTTCATAAATTATTCAGAATTGTTCGCTACGCCATTTATTTTTCCCCTGCCAGTTATCGACACTCGGTGATAACTTCTCTAGTATTTTTGTAATTTTACAATCAATATATGCACTAGTAAACTTTAATACAGAGAGCGGCTATCGCCTCCTGTTGGTTCGATTCTTGGGCGTTCCCAGTTCACCCAGCTGTAAATGGGTACCTACCTAAGTTTACAACTGGGGAAGTAAAGGCGGTCGAGTGCAGTACCGGCCATGCTGCCTCCTTGTGTACCGAAGGCTTAATATACAGTGTGCTGTATCCACACTGTCCCGAACGGGCAGTCTTGCCTATGGGACCACTTTCACTTTCTTTCAAACTTTCATATCGGTAATTATTTCCTATAGCTGGTTTATGGTCACTGAATATAGAATGACGATGACTGCCCCAAAAAACTTAAAGAAGTGCATCAAAAAGTCTGAAGGTTATAGGTCGATGCAGCTCACTAGGAGAGGAGAATAATGTGGGGCGACAGGTTTTTAGGTCATACTGTAGTCAGCCCTAAAGTGGTACGCCATCCATCAGCTGCCCTTCACCATGTCATCTTCTCCCACCCCTAACGAGCCATTCTATCATCCATCTTCCCATCCTTAACGCCTCCCACCCCCACCCTGCCTTTCTCTCACCCCCCTCCCCTCTGACCTCGCTGTTCCTCTCCGCCTCTTCCCTTGCTTCCTTGCTTCATTCTTCCTTCTTCTTGGTCATTGTTTGCATGCGTGTAACAGCCCACTGCAGCAAGAACCAAGTGGGTTGGTATAGCGATTCAGTGGTTACAAGGGCAACAGCAAAATACAATAGCACACACACTGATTAAAGTTCGGAGATGGTAAAGTAAATTAATATACTACGCTCAGAAGAGAAGTAGAAACAGACGTCGAGTTATCTTATGAATGCGTTCAATATGTTCGCCATTTTTGCCAGTGCCCTATCATAATCTGCTTATCAACTGACCTGTAATGTAAAGCCTCTGCCATAATTTTAAAACAAGCTTCGAAACCGAATCACTGAAGCTTGTCCATTTGTATTCAAATTTCCGTTGACATCTTACAGCTCAGCGTCAATGGATAACCAGATAATACAAATGCACTGACAGGAATGGCAAATATGTTGAACATATACGGTACTATAGAGTATAAATCTATATAAGTAGGCTATTCAGTTTCTATTACTCCTTTTGGTTCCACTTTTGAGGTAGTAGGTAGCAGGCAGCGACCAAACAGGGAGGTACTGCCGCCTGGGAAGATATTGGAAGCATAATGTGTTGTCTAATGATAGACCCTGCTGCCATATGGCATCACAAAAATTGTGACCAAGTCCCAGGTTGCTGATCTGACTTTCTGCCTCATTTACACACAGTTGAAAGGTCTCAATTGTTTCTCTTACCATTGACAACGTAACATACATATATTGTTTCTCACTTTTGATCATATTTTCATTTTAGTATTTCTTTATTATTATTATTATTATTATTATTATTATTATTATTATTATTATTATTACAGTGTTATTATCATTATTATTTTATTTTCAATTTGTAATTTTATATTAAATTTATTTACAATGAATTATTATTATTATTATTATTATTATTATTATTATTATTATTATTATTATTATTATTATTATTATTATTATTATTATTATTATTACCACCACTACTACTACTACATTTTCGCCCCCAGGCCCCGATGTGGGTCAGTGACCTGATGCATATCAGGAACAAAACATTCAGTTAAGAATGTTTGTTATTGGCTTGAGAGACACTAACATAATCAGGGAAGTATGTGTGTCAGGGGGCGTCAGCCACCTCCTGACCCACTTGTCCACGATAGGGTGCTCACGAAATCCATGACCGCCGATTCGATTGTGCCACCTGTCGCCGCGGTCACGGTCACCAATCACCGAGATAGTGTGTGGAATGGCTTGATGGGCGGAGCATAAGAGGGGACGACGTAAGAGGTGGAGCATAAGGGGAGGTAACGTAAGGGGTGGAGCATAAGAGGAGGTAACGTAAGGGGTGGAGCATAAAAGGAGGTAACTCTGAACATTTAAGTTAAGTTAACAGTGAGTTTGTTAATTAAGAATCCAATTAAAAGAAGCATATTTTATCAAGAATTGTGTTATTAAATATCACCACTTTCAAGTAAATTCAGTTTTGTTATGTAAAGTCTCAGTTGGACCAGAAAAGTTAAACCTAACTACTACCTGTATGTTATTTATACAAGATGTTATAAAAATCCCTACGCACCTGTAACAATTAAAAATAGTTATTTTTTCTACCTACAGTAAATATTGGAAATTGTTACCGTAAATGTTGGAAGTGAATATCATTCTCAATATTTACTGTAAGTAGAACGAAGTATATGACAATCTTATATTATATATATAAAACAAAGAAGTATGTCTGTTTGTCAGCATGAGAATCTCGGAAACTACTTTACCTATCTGTAGTGATGATGGATGGTGTTCTATGTATTGATGATGGATGGTGTTATATGTAGTGATGATGGGTGGTGTTATATGTAGTGATGATGGATGATGTTATATGAATAATAATAATAATAATTAACGGTTTATTGAAAAAATTCTGCAGCCCGAAGGCTGAAAATATACATTGGACATAAATGACTTATTACATACATTGGTGGTTTAACAAAAGCCTTCATTAGAGAAAGGTAAAGAAACATACAGTGAACATACAGATTAATGTAGGTGTTGAACAGTGGTGTTATATGTAGTGATGATTAGACAATAAAATAATAACCGTTGTAGTGAAAAAAATGGTGGAACTTACATATACCGTTAATGAACTATTGGTGGAAGAAGTTGTTTTGGGGACTGAACAGTGAGACAATGTTGGTACGCCCCAGGTGTATCCTCTTACACTTCGTGACGTTGAATCTTAGCAGCCATTTCTTTGACCATTCTTGGAGCTCACAGAGATCCTTCTGCAGCTATTCGCAGTCCGCATGGTTTTTGATTTCCCGAAATAACGTGGCGTCATCGGCAAACATTTGTATGGAGGAGTGTACAACATCAGGCATGTCATTTATGAAACAAACAAACAACAGCGGGCCAAATACACTGCCCTGTGGTACCCCACTTGTGACGGGTACGGACGATGATTTCGTGCCACTAATCACCACACACTGCTCGCGGTTATGTAGAAAATCTTCTATCCACGCTAGGACTTTTCCCTGAATTCCGTACCCTTCCAGTTTGATTTTCAGCCTTTCGTGGGGTACACTGTCGAAAGCCTTGGCAAAATCTAGGTATGTATATATATTGTCGATATTACCACCTCATTCCAGAATATGGGTCCAAATATCCAATACCTTGAACAATTGTGTTAAGCTGGAGCACCCTGGCATAAAACCGTGTTGGCAATCCTTTACAAGGTTGTTTCGTAGTAGATGTTCCATTGCAGTATCTCTTGATAATACTCTCAAATACTTTACATCTTATGCTGGTCAGGCTCACCGGTCTATAGTTGTTCGTGGAGTGACGATCGCCCTTCTTCAAGATAGGACTCACATAAGCCATTTTTCAATCACTGGGGACCTTTGTTCATCCAGGCATTTACAGAACAGGATCTTCGGGGGCTAGGCAAGCTCGTTGCTGTTGCCAAGTACTGGGCATGCACTGGCTCCTCAATGTATTTGAACCCACTCCAGTGTTGGTCAAGTCTGGTCAGACTGGTCTTGAAACAGCTCACACTCAGTGTCATCACAACACTCTCTGGCAGGTTGTTCCAAGAGTTCACAATTCTCACTCTGAAAAAGTTCACCCTCAGTTTTCTGGACTTGCGGCTCCTTCAGCCTTGACCTGTGACCCCTTGTTGGGCTGGCGTCCGCCAGCTCCAGGTATGGACATTTGGACAGTCGACTGAGTAGTGCCCTTTGAGTTGTTTATACGCCTCATTTAGGTCACCCCTTGTCCGCTTGTATTATAAGCTAGGCAGTTGCAGGCGCTCTAATCTTTGGATAGCTGAGGCCCTCCTTTGGACATTTTCAACCAACTGACAGTCCCTAGCATATCTCGGGGACCAGACGGGGTGACAGTACTCCAGGTGGGGAAGCATCTCACTCTTGAAGATCGTTACGAGGGACAGAACTTTAGATATGTGAACGACCTTCTTATAAGACCTAATAATTTAGTTGCTTGATTCACCTTCCCACAATGGCCCGAGAACTTCAGTTCATTGTCAACATACACACCCAGGTCCTTTTCGCATGTATGATTGGAATTGAAAACTCGGTTTAAAATTATAGGGGCATTACATTTACCAATTAAATTTGTATGTGATGGACTTCGCTTTTTGACAGGAGTTACCAGGTAAACATTTCTAAAATTCATTATACGTAGTTAGGTTACTGAGAATGATTTTATATTTTCTTTGTGTCACCTACAAATTATATAGAGGATGTGTAACTTGGTGTGACATATGTGGTTGTGCCCACAGGTGTTCTGTTTGTCTAGTGGGACATGTAAAACAGCAGGAAGGTGTGAAGGCCGTTCACCCGACTCCATGAACACCATGTGTCCCCGAGGGTGAGTATTCTGCCAGCTTAGCTTTTACACACTGAAGAGGGGCCAGTCTTAAAGCAATGCATCATTTGTATTGGTGAAAACTACACAGAATGGCAGTCACATTTCTTGGGGAGTAAGTTTTAGTGAACAGTAGACTACCCATACAAGTTCAGGCCTGCTTCAGAGAATCTGGCAGTTGATATGTCTTACTCTCATGATTAATGAGATTCTTGAATACAAAATTTACAGTAATTTCAATATCCTCATCAAATTCTCTGGTGTCGTTATATTAAGGAAATCTAATTTCAGAAGTGAGTATATATCTCGTATTCTTACACAGCGGAAAAAGGAATTTTTAATATGTTACTAGCTCAAACACTCGGCTTACTGTATATTGCAGTTTCACTAAAAGTAAATACACTTGAAGCTTTCAACATAACACTTATTGAAACTTAAATGCTTCAGCCAGCAGTAGACATATATATCTTACAGCTACAGATATGCATTCGATCATAATTTCAAATTTACAAACACTAACATGGCATTTCGTTTGTGGGAGAATGGGATGTAGACACTAGAAAAAAATGTACATTCAGTGGGTAAGTGATGAAAGGTCATAACTACATGTTTTATGGGCTATTGAGTGTAATATGAATCATGTCATTCCTTCGATCACTCCTGAAGGTGGCAGAGATTGTTCTGTAGCTTTTCACAGTCCATTTGGTTCTTAATATCCCTGATTACCTTACCATCGTCTGCAAACATTTGTATGGAGGAGTGTACAGTATAGCTCCGAGCATGTCATTTATGAAACAAACAACAACTGGCCCCGTACACTGCCATGTGGCACCCTACATGTCACAGGTACGCATGACAGTTTCATGCTATTACTCACCTCAAGCTGCTTGCGGTCTTGAAGAAAGTCTTCAATCCATTCTAGGACACTTCCCCAAATCCTGGACTCTTCCAGTTTAATTCTCAGCCCTTCATGGGGAAGGTATGCTGTCGAAAACCTTGGCAAGGTCCAGCTCTTTATTGTCAATATTGCCACCATGTTCCAGAATTTGAGTTCAAACATCCAGCAACTTGAGTATTTGTGTCAAGCAGGAGCATCCCAGTATAAATCTATGTTGGCAATCCTTTACAAGGTTGTTTCTTAGTACAGTAGTTGTTCCATCATGGCATATCTTATTATGCTCTCTAGTACTTTACACTCTAAAGTCCCATGGTAAGGCTGAAGAGTGAGACAAAACATGTCTCATCCGCTGTCCTCTACCGATTAAAATCTTGAAAATTATTATTTTATAAATATAAGTAGGTGTTTAGTATGCCTTACTGTATTTACACAGGAAGGCAGGGTAAAAAAAAATGTATATCAGTTGTATTTCCATCTACAGTATTTTTATTACAGTTGCCTGTGTGGCATAATGTTATAAACTGCTTTGTATTTTTCAGGTACATTTACTGCCTACAGAAGTGGGAGTGTGTCAGTGCCGACAAAGGATGCAATACACCAACTTCTAAGTACGAATCAGTAAAAGAAATTAAACTCTTTGTTATACTTTCTTTTCTTATCACTACAATTCCTTTGCCACTATAGAATATTTTAGACAAAATTTCTGATATACTATATAGTATCTGTAGCATTATTATATTTTTTGTTACAAAATTCCTGTACAGGTACCATACCCTAATGATGCTGTAATTATTATTGTAGTATTATAGTGAAATATGTTTTAGGGCTGTTACACTAAAATTGCTGTAATGTATAAACTTGATGTTGAAGGTATAGTACCATGTAAGCCCAAAAAAAAAAAAAAAATAAGACAAAGAATCAGAAATTGGAACATATAGGTGATACACTCTTGATGTACTGTACTGTAGCTCCCCACAGGGAAAATTAATGATTTCTTTGATGTAGCAGAGTGGATGTGAAGTGTCCACCGGGCACTGTGTTTTCTCTGCTGACAGGCAGTTGCAAGGTTGAGCCTAATTGTGGAATGGTAAGACAGTTTTGTAATGTATTGCATGCCAGCATACTGTATTATACTGTATTTTAGGGTAATAATTTTTACATAATTATGGTCATAAGCATAAGACAGTGCTCCTAACTCAACCACATATTTATTGATATTCTGACTACTCTCCCATTGATACAGCCGCAGGGTATGCCAGACCTTCAGTGTTCAGGAAAGTCTTTTGCTCACACTACCTGCCTCTCCAATCAACACTGCCCTCTTGGCTTCACCTGCTGCCCAGATCCAGGTTAGTGTGTTGGTCAAGAATCTATACACTATAAAGTACTCTACTGTATAGCATACATATATTTCTACAATATATGCAGTACATTTATATTCTGTCTGCTAAGCTTAGCTCAATAACTGTCTTGCCAAATTTAGTAGACATATACCCTGTATCTACTGTACATATAAACGAGACCTGGATCCCAGATACAGTATGCAGGTTTTCAACACCAAATCAAACTACACATAACAGGTTTCACTTGTAGGAACACCATTAGACAATAAGTTTCTTGAAGTTTTTAAACTGTAGAAGATCCTAAGTCAAATACTATATATTCTGCAGTCATTTTCCTTGAAAACCATTTGTTTGCCATAGTTTACTGAAATGAGTCATGATTGTTCAGATGTTTTCAATGCTTTTTTATTATTATTGCTGTACTTTCTAAGATAGTAAGGTACACTAATTTAAAAGCACAAGGGTCTTATCTTTATACTGTAATAACCTAAGTTAATATGCAGGAATAAGAAGACCAGTATTGCATTGCTATTCACAGTGCTCATACTTGCAGTACTGTAATAAATGACAATGAATGTTCAACAAAATTTGAGTATAAGTTTGTCAGTTTTTGCCATCTAGAAACATGATGGAGAATCTTGTTGGAGTAAAGATTAGAAGCCTTTGACGACTAATTAGCCTCAACTTATTTTGCATAATGCAGTACTTTACTTGGAGAGAACTTGCATATTGCTGTCTGAATATAGGAGTACTGATCCACCTACAACCCCCATTGGATCTACAACTTGAATACTGTACCATACAATGTGTTGCCATAAGAAGATTGCTCCTATTTTGAGATATTGCATGTACAGTATTAAGTCATTACTCCCTGGTGTACAGTGGCATTTTAGTAGAAATACAGGGTATACCATAAAATAGAATCGGGTATTGTCACCATTAGGTAATAAACACAATTTTTCTCATATTGGAAATGAATTCTTGTGGTGATGGTAATTATGGGACCCACAAAATAGTAGTATAATAACAGTTGGACATTTGCTTCCCAGACACACTCCATCTGCAGTGTGTGGATGCTGATGGCAGATCTGATGAGAAGTCCATTAATATGACCTGCCACCTCATAAACAAACCCCAATATGACACTGGATTGACCTGCAGCGACCCCAAAGACTGTCCTGTCACTTCTCTTTGTTGTGGAGGGAAGTGTATGTCAAACAGGGGCTCCTCCTCTTGCCCCCCTCTTTCACTGTAAGTTACTCTGTTTATCAGGCAGTGAGGAATTAAATTGGTGGAAAGAATAGTTGATGTACCGGTATATCACATATTGTATGATAGATGGTGGAAATACAATAGAGTGATGGGCACAGTTGCCTGAAATAATTATTTTAAAAGATCATGAATGATGGATATACTACATGTAAGAGTTTGTAATAATGGGTATGATGGGTCACGAAACTTAAAGTATTTTGAAGTAATATGCACAGTAGGTAATTACTATAGAGTGTAGTGCGCACAGAAGGTTCTTTTATGAGTATAAACAATGAAAAAGATTGAGGTACAAAGTCTGGCTAGTTGATATAGTGGAGTAGAATGTAGGATACCATTGGGTGCAAAAATGGTTTGTATGTGTTGGAATAACTGTTAACTTGAGGAGGAGCCAGAAGGATGCCTATAATGAGGTCAGCATGCTGGATGTGAATGGTCTTAAGTTTTTACATGATAGTTGCCATAGAAATCAGAGTATTGGGTATATAGTATGTCACATGTTAAGAATGGAAATATGTAACATTGGTGTTATAAATCAGAATAATGAATATAAAAAATAAAAATAACAGAAATTGTAAGTCAGAATTATAGGGTGTCGCAGTGTTGGTGCTAAGAACATGTGCAAGGGGATTACAGTACCAATTTATGTGTGTCTTCAGGTACTGTCCACTGACCAGTAAGTGCCAGTGGCTGGGGATGAACTGTGGCATGGTGTGTCCTCCCAATACTGTCTACTGCACAACCAGTGGACAATGTGTATCTAAAAGTGACTGCGAGTTTGGTAAGGTCCTACATATCATTTCCTCATAAGTTGTTTCAGTTTAGTTATTTCAGTAGATGTGGTTCAGAACAAGTAAGCTGAACATTCTTGTAATTATGACATCGTTGGGCAATTCAATGGGGAGCACAGACGATAATGAGCTGTAATTCATGTTTTAATCTCTTCACTGTCCACAATTCTTGGAACATATGTATCCCCACTACTGTTGAATTACTTGCACAGTATTTGTAAATGAAAGATATTCATGTTTTTGTGTCCCCACCATTAAATAGTGGGAAGATTATAGAGCTATCCCTGTCTGTGTACCCATTGTTACAAGATATTATAATTCCATTCATGTTGTAGCTGAGAGTTCACTAATCAACACTTTTCAGTTTTATTTGCATGTATTCTGTCTTGTATTCAACTTGAAATTTTAGACAAAGCACCTCAGGTACCCAGAGAGATTAGAACACCTGCAATTACCTAGCTTATAATATAGATGGGAAAGGGGGTGATTTAATAGAAGTTTATAAGCACCTCGGAGGACATCGATCAGTTAAGTTTTCATATCTAGAACCAGAGAATGTCTGCCCTACTAGAGTTCAAAGTCTCGGGTTAAAGAAGCTTCAAATTCAGAAAATTTTTAGAGTTATCTTTCCAGAGAGAGTTGTGATGGCACCAAGTGTGAACTCATTTAAGACCAGACTTTACCAACCCTGGCACAAGTTCAGATACATTTTGGAGTTAGTGCATATTATGTACTTGACAAGATTGTATAACACCTTCTGTGACAGTCCAGTACAATATAGGTCCATAAATTGTCCATTTATTTATTGAAATACTGGAACTTAGATTTTTCTTGCAGGTAATAATAACTGATAAGAACATACAGGAATGTGTGCTGGTAGTAACACTTTGTATCCTTGGTGAAGGTTTTCCAAATTGTCAGAATGAATGTGTACTATTGTGGTAGTAACAGGACCTGGGCAGCTCCATCTCCGGATTTAACACCTTTGGATTTTGTGATTTTACAAGAGGTTTAACAAGTTACATAGATGTGTACTGAACAAGAGTTACAGATGCTCCATGCAACAAGAAATCAAAAGTGATAAAAATGGAGATGGATCTGCCCAGGTCCTGTTACTACCACATTCAGGCTGGCAATTTGGAAAACCATCATCATGATACATCCCTTGGATACAAAGTGTTACTACCATCACACATGATCGAACATTCTTCATCAATTAATATTACCTCCAAGAAAAATCTAAAGTACCATAATTTCAACCAAATATATAGGGACTCTATGGACATGCTTGTTACACTATTTAAATCACATTTATTATTTACCTGCACCACAATTCAAAGACAGTAACATCTGATACCCTTCTTTTATCCCACTAATACAGATTTTGAAGTTCCGTGGACTCTTCCTGGGCCTCTGAGGTTGCCTAGTAACTGCAACAACTCACAAATGAATGAAATTACCATGTCTGACATCTACAGCACTGCCACAACTGTCACCCACGACAGTTCTGGAGTGGTAAGTAGTGCAGGCAGGCTTGTATATGTTTATAATATACAGTACGGTACAGAACAGTATGTCAGTTCTTTCCTCCAAGGGGATATGTAAAAGTCTTTTGTCCCCTGTATTTTTCACACTACTGTACTAATACAAAAGAAAGAACTGCCATTAGATAAACTGTATATATTCTTTTTTTGTTCAATCCAGAATGCGACGTCTAGCTTTATACCTAGGTATGTTAATGCCTAGCAATAACTCGCCAGGCCAACATACAGGCAATTAAAACATCTAATAATCATTGAATACGTAATACTAGGAGGACACGTCGCTACCTGGCATTTAATTGCAATTCTCAAAACCCCCTCCCACACCCTCCATCACACACATTGCTACCTTCATCTTCTTGCCTGGTGAATCAGCTGTAAATACGCACAAAGAAGGCTCCGCTAATTTGTGTTGTAATAGCTGAAATACTAAGTGCCACGAGGATTTTATATAGGGTATTTATACATCTTAGCACAGTGAGGAAATCGAGTGACTTTTATTATGTTTATGTCTCTCAGATATTGTGTTTGGGACAATTTTTTATACGGTTTGGTTGGTATCGTGACTACAGCTTGTCTTCTGTTATGAAGACAGTAGATCGTTAGTGACTAATATCCTCTGCTTTCAAGTCACTTAGTGAATGACATTGCTTTTCAGTTTTTTTTCATTCATTTATTCCTTGGCTTAATCTTTCCTCACACTGTATCTTAAGTTGTGATTTAGTGCCACTAGCAAATTTTATTATTGGTTGATCATCAGGTCTTCAAGGTGGAGAATTTGACTACGTGGTATGGTACATGGGTGCAACGGGCACCTGCATCCAAGATTTGGACTCCTTTGGAACCTTCTGCTGTGCTGATGCCTTCAGACTACCTTGGTTATATGCCCCATCCTGGCATATATGTCTTTGGGCTTGACCACATTAACATGACAGAGAGGGGTAAGTGTTCCTTTAATGGTTATCATAATTGAAACAATTTGATAGTTGTACACCTTAATAATACTGTAGTATTTTTGAGGCTAGTGTTTCCAAGCTAACGTGGGGCTTTGAAAGGCAGGAAACCACTTTCCTTTCTTTAGTTTCTTTTTGAAAAATTAAATCACCGACCAAGACCAAACTCTCCCTCCTGCCTCAGTTTACAATGCAAAAAAAGATTCCAAGGAGCATTAGAAGCTAGTTGGTCCTCACTTTAAGTTGGAGAAATGCTTCTGTTGGAAAATGAGAACTTAAAGACCTGATTTCCTTGCAGAGAAATTCAAGCCTCACTGATTACATGAATTATTATATTCTACAATAAATCAACCTTTCACAGAAGAAGGGATGTTAGTCATGAAGGATGTCCCACCAGCCTTCCGTATTTCCCATGTAAACCTAACCACCTAAAATCCTCACTAGGTGGATACCTAAATCACTTTTTCTCCAAGTATCCTCTTCTTGAAAGAATACCCAACTCTATCTAGGTCCAGTATTTTCATGCTTTGCATTCCACATCTAATCCTCAAGATAGACTATTCATGGGATCTCTTTCTATGGCTCATACCTGAATTAATCTTGACAGTTGCAGATAGGTCCTACATGTCAAACTTTTAATTGCAAATGATAAAACCTATTAAAACTCTTATTGAATAGGAAGAAATCAATAATCACCCTTCAAATAATGAACATCTTAATACTGATATCCCTACTCCAAGGGTCAGTCTATTATAAATCAAGATTACTATATGATTACCTGAAGCCACAGTAACACTAAACTGACTAGAAAGGAATTACAGTATAAGAACTGTTTGTGTGACACTTCAACTTTACTTGATCATCAGTTTAATTGTTTCATCAATAAATGAAGGACAGTATTGGATGATATATGACAGAAAGAAATGGGATGAGCTTGTGAAAACTGAAATACTGTAATAACTTTAAAATCATATAAAATTCCAGACCTTTAAAAGAGATCTTGAAAAGGAAAAATAGTAACCAACATTCATGGCAAGGTATACTACCAGAGCTGGCAAACCTTTGTAATGCTCTACATTGATTTGTACCTGAACAATGTACACTATGTAGTTGATATTGATTTTCTGAGAATATACTTTGAATACAGACACTATGTACAGGTACTCCCCGACTTACGACCGACTTGACTTACGTCCACCCGCACTTACGATCGCCTCAGTAATACCAAAATGTGGTCAAATTATGTATTTTTGAGTCCCAAAGTCAGTACACAGACAAAATTTTCATCTGTAATTCACTTTAAAATGGCTGGCAAGCTTAAAGTGAGAAGAAAAAGAGACCCAAATTTTCGATTTTCTATGTGTTATTTAAGCATTTCCGACTTACGACCATTTCGACTTACGACCTGGATGTCGGTCCCTAACCCCGTCGTAAGTCGGGGAGTACCTGTATAGTGAAATTTTTTAAAAAGGATTAGAAATTGCAGATGAGTGAGTAATAATTAATGATGGAACTTTGAGTTGATGCAGGAGCAAAGAGAATATTTTTTGTGGTGTTAGAGTGAGATGAGTGAGACCATTAGTCAGGAGATAGAAAGGAAGATGATGGACAGTGAGGAGAAGGATATTTTGATTGAATTATTTGTAAAAATGGGGCAGGATCCTGATAGTCACAGGTTTTGCATAAGTCTCCTTCTGGTCCATTTAAGGAAAGATCTGTGAGATATTGTGAAACTTAAAGAAAAACCCAAACAATTTTGAGTGATTTTTCGGCTAATAATATTAAATTACTGTTATATTTACTTTGTATGAAACATTTGAAATTTAACTGTAAGCATTAATTTTACTTCCTTGTAATTAAATGGCAGCATCTGGGATTCGTCGAAAAGTGGTACAACTCGTGGCCCCGGAGTTTCCTGTGATCCCCATAAAAGAGGTGGTCAACAATATATCCCTCAAGGAGAATGAGCCCAAGAAACTGAAGCTTTTGGATATTGTGAATGTGACGTGTGATGATGATGCTTACTGGAAGGCCTGGGAGATGTCTATTGGTGAGTAGGTGTTGGCATCCTGTGTACATTCACCCAAAAATAGATCTTAATTTTTAAAGTGTTTTTTTTTTTGTAGGAAGGTGGATAAAGATAGAACAGTATTGTTTTATGTAACAACAAGGCCTATGGAAAAGAATTAAGAATATTGTACTATGTTTTTTATTTTATACTAGCCTTTATTTTTTAGTTAGTGATTGTTATTTAAGCATTAGAATACAAGATGTAGATGATGGTAAGTATTTATGAAACATTAATATATGTAAGTTAAAACCAGAAAAAGGTATATAGGGTGCGTATAGAAATGACTGATACTGTATAATAATTTTAATTTTATTGTGTTAACTAACAGTCAAGTCTATAAAACAAGGTGATGAGGTTCATTCTTGACGTGAAAGAAAGAGATCACATTGACCGTGAATTTTGTCAATCACTGAACATGTTAAGTGTGGTGGATAAATTGAAGCAACTGAGGCTGAGTCACGCTTACAGGATTTTCAATGGACTGTGCCCAGAGTATTGAACAACAAACTTTGTATGGCAATTTATTTTGTATGTTTCCACGTAAGATTAATAATTTGTAAATTTTGCCTTGGTGACTGGCCATTGAGAGTGTTATAGCACCTTTGTATATTTGAATGTTGGGCTTCTATATTAATTCACTGTTGAATGCATTTGTTGTCAGGGCTATGTCATGGATTTCTCTGTAATCTATATAATCTATGATTCACTTGTATAAAAATATCAAAAGAGGTGTTGGTTTATTTCTATTATAAATAATTAGTATAAGGAGCATCTGTGGCCATTGGATTTTCACCAGGTTAAGACAAGTTAACTCTTTCTTGTAAATTACTTGAATTCTGGTAAATTAGTTTAAATAAATAAACTAAAAATAGATTACCTTTTATAATAACTATTGGTTATAAAAAGCAACACTGAGTTGTCTGAGTAGACCATAAACTGATAAATTAGTTCAGAAATACTGGACATATTAAATGGTGATTGGTTCTCGTGCTTTTGGCCGGTCACATAAGCCAGCGGGATGGCAGAGCTAATGGCGCCACCTTGACAAGCAAACGTGAAAGTCAACATTGCTACAACTTAACATTGGCTAAAGCCTTGAGAGAACTTCATTTAAGACTCATAACCTCTTCCTGTGGAACTCGGATAAGTATCCAGCAGTCTGTAGGAGAAAGGCAGATTTCGTAGGAATGAGGTGAGGTGAGCCTCCATTACTAAACTTAAGTTCAATATAATTAGTGTCATATAAATTTTTTACACTGCAAGGATTAGGGTTATGAATTGGGCAGGGCACTAGAGGGAGTAAACATTATTTTATGATACTGTACCTGGTGTCTGTGGCAAAGTGAAATTTTTTTTCTTCTGTATAGCTATAACAGACTGGAACAAATTACAGTTCCAGGCCACATCAAAACTAGTTACAGTATTAAACAATTCAAAGCTAAAACAAAGCAAAAATGCATAACAGATGAAGCTACAGCAAGAAAAGAGTGAGTTTCTATATTATCCACAGTGATCTGCCAGCCTGTTGAATTTTATAAAAAAAAATCACTACAATATTACTCCTGTACACCTGTAAACCTAAGCAAAGGAACTTCCTGGAAATAAGCACCTGAGCAGCTTTGTCGGCTATCCTTGGACAAATTGTCTTACTGTTTAGCATTGTTGTTTACCTGCACTGTCTCACACAGGAAACTGTGAACTCCAATTGCCTATGTGAACTGTATACCTATACAGTATTGTATATATTCATGCTGAACTGTACAATTGCATAATTTATAAACATGCCCATCCATTTGTAAACCTGTATGACAATTTTACTGAATAAATATTACTATGATTTCTTCTGTAAAGCATCACCTAAAAATCTAAAAAATATTTCTTGTGTCTCTTCTCTTGCAGATCTACCAAAACAAGCTTCCCAAGCTGGCCTGTTGGACAGTGCCCACCCAGCAATAGTGTCATGGGTGGGGTCTCTCCAGCAGCTCCACCTTAATGTAGAAGAGATGCACAGCACTGAAGATGATAGTCCCTGGTGGAGCGGTGGAGGTGGCAATTATTGGGAAAGCGGCGGTGAACAAAGTGAAAATACTCGTAGAAATAGCAGACAAAGACAAGGTCATCGGGAAGAAAGAAATGATCGTGGTAGGCTCAGTGAACGAAGAAGAGAGCTCAGTGGAGCTACAAGTAATGTACATAAAGAGAGAGGACTGTGGCTAGAGTGGACTGAGCCACCTACCACCCGCAGTGATGTTAAGATTGATATTTTCTTTTCTCTGGATGGTGGTGACACGTAAGCATTATAGCCCATCTCTCTTTAATTCTTGATAAAATCTCAAATGATTTAAGTCATTAGAAGGGTAGAGTTGTTTAGGTGTGCACAAATAACACAGATGCCTTATCAAGTTATGCATCGGTATTTCTTTAGATATTAATATTATTTAATTATTTTTTATCACAATGAGTCGTAAGTTCTGCCTCTATGAAACAAAATTCATACTTTATAGTAATTTCTCTCCAGTATATTTTTTCCTTTTTTTTTTATTTAAGAAGTACCGATAATTCTCAGTCATACAGATTTCCATATTTTATCACAATTTTTTTGTTCTAAAAAGAAAATCTACATTCCTCTTCCCTGCAGGTGGATACTCATGAACCATGCCCTGGGGATCAAGTTACCTCTATCTTCCTGTGAGTCAGCACAAGACATCTTAGTGAAGTTACATCCATCTCCCAATGCCGTAGGCAGCCCCAAGCTTCTCATCTCGGTTTTCCCTTCTCAGAGCTCCCAGGCATGTCCCACCTATCCAGACGAACATATAATTACTTTGGAGGTGAGTAAACACTTTACAGTATACTTGAGAGGTGAGTAAACATCCAACTAGAGAGATGAATGTGTGTTATTGGAAGATGCTATAACGCAACTTGGGGAACATATTACTTGAAAGTGTTGGGAGGATATTAATGTAGAGGTGAGGAAAGATCTTATGTACATGTGGCAGTAATATTTCAGTGTAATGCTGTACTTTATCAAGAATTTTTGTGGGCCTGAATTATCCAAGGTCTAAATGTAACTGAGGAACTAACTCTTAATATCCTTCATCAAAATCATGGATGATATTAAATATTAATAGCTTATTACTGACAAGAGGCATTTCATTTCAGATCCAAGAGGTGAACGATGCACCACAGGCTAGGACAATTCCTGTCCAGAGCCAAGTACCCTCTTTGACTTATGGCACCAGCACCGTTGGTACCCCGGCTTCTGTCTATGCAAATGCCTTTTATGTTGATTCAGATGAGGACTCTACCATGTGTATAATTATAATACAGGCATATGGCAGTAATTTAGGAGTTTGGCAGGTCTCTGAAGATGATGGAGCAACTTACAAAAATGTGAGGATAATGGAGTTCTGTGAAATTTTCTTTTAACAGTTGACCTTGTGCAGCAATTTTGATAATTTTGTGGTGTGGAATACTTATTGATTTTTTTTTAGTTTTGTTGAAAAGTTGTATCCATTAATTATGATATCTACCGTAATCTTGAATTTTCTGATTTAGTTATAAACTTAACATAGGTACTCCTGAACATATTGATTGAGGAGCTGTGGTCAAAAAAATTATATGTGGGTAATTTGTTGTCCTATTGACTCTTGGAAAATTGAATTACTGTTGCAATGCTCATTACTCACCATCTATGATTTTTTGTTGGCACTATATGGTGTTTTTGTGTTATTCTGGATGTACTTTTGGCCAAAAGAACACTAAATTTTTAATTCTGGACCAGAAATCACAAGATAATTAATATCTTATTTCCTTTATTAATTACTGCATACCAACATGCTCTACAAAAAGTACACTTTAATCATATTTCTTCTAAATGTCTATTGATTGCAAGTGACAACCCTTTCTTATGTCAGATTGGGGGCCTGGAGGATGACCCAATCCCTTCAACGCTGGGAGTGACGGGGTCTCACCGAGGTATTGTAAATCTGGAGGAGATGAGGGACAAAAACATGTGTGACATCACAAACATGTAAGAAGACCTCATAGAGGATATTTTATGAAAGCTTTATATGGAATCCTAATGTCAGTGTTCAGCTTTCATGATGTATATTGTGTATATGTAATTTGATTCATCTTTTATTCAATTAATCATATATCGACATTGATGTGTAATTTATGAACAGGTGCAAGTTAGCTTTTCCATGTTTATCCTAACAGTAAACTTAAAGTCTCTCCATCTTATTCAGGGACCTTGCCCAGTTGTCCTCATTGCCCAGCAACAATGAATGTTTGGGAAAGCTGATGATGAGAATGGAAAACAGTGGTGGCACTCCAAGTTCTACAAGAACAGCAGGAGAAAATGAAGCAACATCTGCTACGGAAACACGGGGAGGTGCAGCTGAAATGGAAACAGGTTCATTGAGAGGACAGAGACAGTTCACAGACTTTGAAACAGGGAATACCCAAGTGTTCACTGTGTACCCAATGGTTAGTCTCAGAAAATTCCTGATAGTCATGCTTGATATATTAATTGCTCTGAGTGGCAGTTGTAAACACTGATTACAGTATTATCACGATGAGACTAATATAATGTAATTGTAGGCAGGTTTCAGGCTATAACCAACTATCCTTAAATATGAGGAGAGGAAAGACAGCTTTTTGAAACTAACTTTATATGATGAAGTATCAGTTTTGTACTAGTAGTTTGGATGGGAGTGTGTTTTTGAGGAGGAGTTTATATAATGTTTAATGAGAGTAAATTAAAATTTTAAACTCTTTTCTCTAGATAGAGATAACATTGAGACAAAGTAAGTGAACATGCTAATGGCAGTGATACGGTGAAATTCTTTATTATGTTGTATTTTCACATTTTCTGTGTATCAAATACTGTACTGTATACCAATGCAGTACTGTTAGTTTTTTTATGGGAAAAATATTTAAGCTATGTCCTCAGAATCAGCCAGTTCTCTCTCTCCACCATAGTAACTCTCATCCCTTTACAGATGCGAGGCTTCTATGTGCCTGCAACAGCGCTAATCAGGTTTAACCACACACGTGAATACTGGACCCTAGCAGAAGCACGGCAGGGAACACGGTTGGTATTCCTTGCCAGCGATAATTATAACAAACAGGAGGCTTCCCCCGAGGCCAAGATGATCAATGTCAGCTTTGCTCAGAGTTGGAAGGTGAGTGACTCTGGTGTTGTATTCATTTCCTGAGATGTGGCACTAATTATTTTTTAATAAGTTAGGGTCATGGGCACTTTTGGATGCAATCACATTAGTCACTTTCTTTCTGGTTAACGGTAGTTATTGATTACAGCTGCCTGAGTAGTTGCTTTGGATCCTCGACTCATCTTTCTGACGCAATCACACTGATATTGAAGTAAAACAGAAGTCACTCTATTTATTACTTGATCCCGATTGTGGTATACATTTAACATATCCTATAATAACTTTTGTAATTCTGCCTATAATAACTTACCTCAGCTATGGTGTGTTTTTTAGTTCCAGTTGCTGTGTTATTATTTCAAGTCTCTTTTAGTAATAAAGGTAACTATATCATCAGATGGGAGATGTGGGTAATGTGGCAAGAGATCCTGTGGTAATGTCAGCGGAGTGGAGAGATTGTTCTGGTCAGTTGGTGATGTCAGATTCACCTCGGGTGTTGGATGTCTGTAGCGTCTGTGGTGGCGACGATTCCTCTTGTTTTGACTGTAACGGAGACTTTAATGGCAGTAAGTTTTCCTCTCACATCTCGTACTTTTTTTTCAAATAATTCTTTAATGCAAAAGACAGTTAAGGTCTATTAGATAAGTTTCCAGTCACCAGATGTAAAACAACAGAGAACAAGTATTTTAAACAATACAGGTTTAGTGTTGATGTGCAGGTTGAACAGTAGAGTCATGTGATTTCTCAGAGGCCCTTTCTCATAAGAACACTAACCATCAAACGATATGAAGAAGAGGGAGAAGGCAAAGATGCAGTATTTTGACAGTGGACGAATAGGAAGTTATTGAATTTTATTCATTATTATCCTGACTGCAATGCAGTATTTTTGCAAAAGTATTCCCTTTTGACTTAAGAACATTGTACTGTACTCTCCTAATGACATATTTACCAAACAATGTAACTTTTAAACTGATATTTTTTTTTATCTTCCACAAGTTTAACCAAACCACAGATTCTACATGTCTCATATAATATCATTAGGTCTTTATTGACACTAATGTAATACCTTTACAGATGCCAGAATGCACTGCTCTAAATGTGTTGGAGGCAACACAGGAAAGACAGAATCGGTGGATTGTTCTGGCAAATGTGGGAATGAAAGCATCATGGTGGAGAGAGGTGCAAGTAGTGTGTGTGTGCCTAAGGACCACCCTAATGTTACCTTCTGTGATGGCTCTACAGACTCCAATGCTTTCCTTAACCCGTGAGTGTCATAATGGTGTCATTTAAGGGATATTAACCCATATTGAGTGGCAGAAGTTTCTCTTGGCTGAATAAAATTGTTTATCATTATCCAGAGTAAAATACTTAGCATAAGTATGACACTATTTCTTAAGGGGTTAAAACCAGCTGGACAAAATTTAAAAAATTTAGGATTGATCTTTTGAAGATTATTTTTTTAATTTCATAATTTCCATAGTTATGGAATTGCTATTTTATATTGATGAAATGACTAAAAAGTTGTTTATACTTTGGGAGAATAATGTTATTTATGAGGTCATCAGTACAGTACTTAACATTACCAGTTAGAGAATAATGTTTGAGGGAAGTACCCCTGGAGAAAAAACAAAGGGCCAGCCAGACTTACCCATCTTTGTATACTACTGCACAGCACGTGAATTTCCTTCATCAATATTTTTATTAATAATTGCATTTTCGAGATTTGTACTGTATAGTAATATGCTAATTATTATTTCATTAACTAAACAGGAATATAGGTAAACATGTAGCTCTCATAATATAAACTGCAAGATGGTGGACATAGACAAGTAAATACTACTGCTTGTAACTGCAATAGATAACTGGATATATTATGACTATTTTATCTGATGTTTCGTATATCTCTGTCTTCCAGGTGTGGGACGTGTGTGGGAGGATTGACTGGATTGCCTGATAATGCCAACATCGACAAGTGTGGTGTTTGCGGCGGAAAAAATGAATGTGTTGGGTGTGATGGCGAGATCAACTCTGGAGCTGTAAATGATATTTGTGGTGCTTGCCTCCAGCCCAATAATCCCGACTTTAATAGTGAGTACAAAGTATTGGCTTGGGTACAGAATAAGAGACACTGTAAACAATAGGGAACAGGATGTAAGTTTTGGAGCAGGGATATTAGGTAGGATATATAGTAGTGTCTTAGGGTGTGAAGTAGGGTACAGTGTATAGGGAGAGGTGTGTTGTAATATAAGAGACAGGATGTGAAATATGGGAAGGTGTTGTAGTTTGGGTCAAGATATAAAATATGGGAAGGGGTTTAAGTAGGGATAAATTCTGGAAAATGAGGTGTAGTGCTTTTGGGGACAAAAGTCATAGTTGAAGGTTATCTATTAACCCCTTCAGTCAGAGGCACTTACCTGGCATGTCCTCTTACACCAGTGTCACATTAAAGACATACCTAGTACATCCTGTAATCTTGACAATAGGAAAAACTGGGAGGCTGAAATTGCGCTGATATGGCATGACTTATTCTAAGAAACTTTTACACCCCACTTCATCCAGTCATATATTTTCTCTTGTATTGTGGTGTGTATTAAGCTTACTGTAATTATCTGTTTTCACAGGTAGTAGGCAGCTACCAAACAGTGAGCTACTACCGCCTGGGAAGCTATTGGAAGCATAATGTATTGTCTAATGGTAGACCCTGCTGCCATATGGCATCTCAAAAATTGTGACCAAGTCCCAGGTTGCTAATCTGAATTTCTGCCTCATTTACACACAATTGCAGGGTCTCAATTGTTTCTCTTACTTTGACAACACAACATATATATATTGTTTCTCACTCTTGATCTTTTTTCTTTTTCTTTTTTTTTGTCTTTATTATTATTATTATTATTATTACCTGTATTATTATTATTATTATTATTATTATTATTATTATTATTATTATTACTGCATACCTCGGCCCCGATGTGGTCTAATCCCAGTAAAAAAAAATAATTATAAAACCCTCAGTGACCAGCCTGTTCTTTTTACTTGTTTGATAAGAGACTGGGTGGTGGCCTGCCAGATGAATAATGGAAGTGTTCATTTGTTTATTCACACACACACCCCTCATTTACCCCTTCCCTCATACACCCTTTCCCACACACACACACACACACACACTGCCTCCCACACACACACCACCTCCCTCCCACACACACACACCACCTCCCTCCCACACACACACACCACCTCCCTCCCACACACACACACCACCTCCCTCCCACACACTCCCCCTACTTGCACACACACACCACCTCACACACCCCTTCCCTCTCACACACACCTCACACACCTTACACACCCCTTCCCTCTCACACACCCCTTCCTCCTCACACACCCCCTCTCACACACACCACCCCTCCTGCACACACACACCCCTTCCCTCTCACACACACCCCTTCCCTCTCACACACACCCCTTCCCTCTCACACACACCCCTTCCCTCTCACACACACACGCCCTTGATATTGTTTGGTGATCATATTATTCCCTCTGAGCAAAGTGGTGAAAGACAGAATTCTAGTATCCACACAGTATATCTGTACCTTGTTCCATGCAAAAAATTTTATGAAACATCAGTAGTTGAATTCTCTTAGTGAGGGAGAGGCCTACTGATTTTGGGATCAAATGGTCACTGTGACCACTAAAAAAAGAATTTCAGTTACTGCATCAATGCTACTTTTATGCCTAGATTAATAGTTAGAATACTGTACTGTATTATGCTTCATCATTGGCATTTTTTTTTTAACTTATAAATTTTAGGAGCTATCAAACTGTACAGTGAATAATTTTTTATCTTCTAAGCCAAGGGTTCTTAAACCTTTTCTCACCAGGTCCCCCCTGAGTTAACAGACCATCGACCCGTACCCCCATTATTGAGACACTGAATAAAGAATGGTACAACATTAACACTAATTCAATATAGAATTGCAGTGTTAAAACATATTTGGTGCTTGGAGAGAAGCTACTTTCCATATTGTATATACAGTATAGTCTCGATTTACCGTACGTGGATTTCCTTAACACTGTTGGTCATTTACGCGGCACCTGGCCAGACCAGCAATTATTAGTTACGCGGTACATTCCATCATTTACGAGGGAAGCGGCGCAGGCAGGGTGCGCACTAGGTCGCCCAGTCAACAAAACATTACTGAGTTCTTCACCCGCCACCCACCACAGCCAGCCCAAGCCAGTGATAGTGAGGATATGAACTTTGAGGGGTTTGACAAAGAGGCCCTTCAAGCCTTTGTGGTGGAGTGTGATACAGGTGATACAAGTGATACAGGTGAGGGCCAATAATCTGCCCTCTGCCTTGGACCCAACTCCCCATCCCCGTGTGCCCAGCCATCTCTTGTACTAACGTAAGTGTTAAAAATCCTAATATTATTGATATTTCTCTTAAATATTAATTGTGTGTGCATACCATCATAAAATTAAGATGTTATTTTTACTACAACGTACGTACTGTGTCGGAAAAAGGGTAGTCTGGGGGTTGGCCCAGTCTCTATTTCAATTAATCCCATATGTTCTTTTATTTCGTTTACGCATTTATTGTTTTACGCGGACCTCCACGGGTTTAATTGACCGCGTAAACCGAGACTATACTGTATAACAATAAATTTATATCACCTCATGAATTAAATTTGGTGAAATTAGTATACTGTACAGTATTCTATATTTACTTTTGTCAGCCCTCAATGTACCCCCTGGAAACCATCCTGTGTACTCCTTTGGGTTTGGAAACCCCAGTTTGAGAACCCCTGATCTAAGCCAAAGGCCAAAAGCAAACACATACACATCTTTTTCTAAGCAAATGAGGTTATTAGTCTGAAGTGATTTCTTCCACAGATTGTAAGAGACTTGGACTTGTGAGTAACTCTGTGGATGCTGCAGTCAATGATCTAGGGAGTGCAGGTTTTGACAGTAAGTAATTTTCAGATATCATATGCTATATTATTTAGCACGAAAGAATTCTGAAGAATTTTGCATTGAGTGTTTATGAAATATACTATATTTGAAGTTAAAACTGAAAATATTACCACTAAATGCCCACATCTTGTGCATTACAGAGGAGGAATTAAGGAAGTTCTTCACCCTGAAGGCTAGTGTGGCTGGGGTAAAGAGCAAGAAATACAACCTAGAAAATTGCACTTTGGTTAACAAAGATGGCCAGGTGAGCACTCACTTTCCTTCTCGAGAATCACTTTAAAAATTCACTCACATACAGTAGAGCCTCAGATTTAGTGTAGGTAAGAAATTACCTTAGAGTTACAGCATGGAGAGCTGCCATCAGGTAATCACGGCTAACCCATACAAGTGTGGTAAATGGCCATAAAGTAATGATGATTGTATGTTAAAATTAGAATGCAATGATTATTACACAAATCAGTTTCCATAAAGTACCTCACATGTAGCCTCACTTTTAAAGATAAAAGTACTGTACTTTACAATACTGTATTAATATACAGGCTTTTAATTTAATATGAAACGTTAAATTACTGTAATGTTTTTCCATTTTTTTTAATTCCAATCAATTGCTATGGGAGCTCCACAAATGGTATAAGGTGACATAAGTGGTAAAATATACAGCCACAGGGAAGAGGATAATAAGGGAGGAAGGCAGGGCAACAAATGCTAGGCTGCCAATAACACTCCTTCATGATTATGTATTAACTATGACTGTCCACTGTGATTTCTTTATACAATGGGGCATTAATCCTTTCAATTTGGCACTACTGTACTATGACCCCTGACTGGCACATTTTTTCAAAACATTTAAATAGGAAAAAAATCCATTTTGGAAGTACCTGAACAGTAGCATGATATAGAAAAGCTCTTCCTCAAAGGCAGCCGTACTAGATCCTCTGTCATATTGTATCCATCACATCTTGTGAGAGGTATATGATACCATAAAAAACACATCATCTAATGGTATCCACCCAACCTATTTGCCAATGTGATGCCTAATGAAGCTTAAAGGCAGAAAAAGATGGAGCCATTGTATTACAATGTTGTATTTGGTGGGAGATTGCCACAGTACGGGGACGGGTGTACTGTACATGGGTTATATCCAGGGGAAGGGTAGTGGAAGCAAGAGTACCAGCACAAAGCCAGGGGCAGCGGTACACCCTCTCTACCTCCCACCCAGGAGGAGGCAAGTGCTGTGTAAACAATTACATTTCTAATCACACCCTGCAAGATACAGTGCACAGTATTTAACAAATGCTGCCGCTGCTGAGAATGGAGGGGGGGCTGGAGTTACTACCAAGAGCAGAGACGTTACCGAGAACAAATTCCGGTTTGAATGTCATGTACACTATTACTGACACGTTCCTTGATAAGAGAGAGTTTGAAACACTACTGAAGGAACACCAACCCGATATAGTAGGAGTTGTAGAGCTGTTGCACAAGAACAGGAGAATCGTCCCAGAATAATGTGAGTTCAGTATTGTCAGATATGACTTACTGTATTTATGAACCTTTCTCAAGAAACTTGCAAGAGGGGTGTGGTTATCCATGCTAGGTAACACCTTAGAGCCAGCCAGGTGAGGGTACAGGGAGAGGAACGTTTTTGAAGAATCCAAGTGGTGTAAAAGACTTACTTATTGTCGGGGGTATCTACAAATCATCAAACTAGCTTACCAAACCAAAGGAACTTAAAGCCTTAATAGACAGTGCAACGAGGCTCAACCCTAGCCAACTCCTTATCATGGGGGACTTTAACTATGGCGACATCGACTGGAGAAACGAGTTCACACCAAACTACTTAAATATCCCCGCTACTCTTTTTCTAGAAACTGAGAGATAATTTTCTGTTCCAATATGTGAAAGACACGATGCCTGACTCACAAAGGCATAAGAACGCAGACACTACGCTGAATATCACAGCTAGTAAAGTGAACCATTTGATCAATAAATATATACCCAAGACCAAACCCAATGCCTCTAGGAATACAAGGAGACCCCTACACATGAACTATGCGGCGGTCGACAAAGTTAAGAAGAAAACCCAGAAATTCAAGGCATGTGTTAGATGAAACAATAGCAGGGCAGGAGGATGTATGCATAAGTCAGGAACCAAGCAGAGTCAGAGAGTAGAAGGGCTGAAAAGGAGTTCCAGAGGCTGGTTGCAAGCGAGGTAAAGTCAAACCCAAAGGCATTTTACCGCTATGCAAAGTCGAAATTAAAAATGCAAGTAAGAGTATTGGACCTAATGCTTGAAGATGGTAGTTGTGCTGATTCAGACCAGGACAAAGCTAAGGCATTGAACAGCTTCTTTTCCTCGGTGTTCACAAGAGAGGATGCTATTAATCTTCCTGTGTTTGAGGACAGACAGTTCGACACAGCACTGACCCACATTGTGCACACAGAAGAGGTTTATAAGAAATAAACTGTTAATCCTAAAGGTTCATTAGAGTCCCGGCCATGACGTGATGCATCCCAGAGTGCTAAGGGAGTTGTGCAACGAGCTAGCTGAGCCCCTGAAGATCCTGTACAGTAAATGCCTGGATGAACAAAAGGTCCCCAGTGATTGGGAAATGGCTTATGTGAGTCCTATCTTCAAGAAGGGCGATTGTCACTCCACGAATAACAATAGACCAGTGAGCCTAACCAGCATAGAATGTAAAGTACTTGAGAGCATTATAAGAGATGTCATGATGGAACATCTATTACGAAACAACCTTGTAAAGGATGGCCAACACGGTTTTATGCCGGGAAGCTTCTGCTTAACACAATTACTCAAGATACTGGATATTTGAACTCAAATTCTGGAACAGGGTGGTAATATCAAAAATATTTACCTAGATTTTGCCAAGGCTTTTGACAGTGTGCCCCATCAAAGGCTGACAATTGTATCCCATCAAAGGCTGAAAATTAAACTGGAAGGGTATGGGATTCGGAGAAATGTCCTAGTGTGTATCGGAGACTTTCTCCATAACCGCAAGCAGTTTGTGTGGTGATTAATGGCACAAAATCATCATGTGTACCCATCACAAGCGGGGTACTGCAGGGCAGTGTATTGGGCCTGCTGTTGTTTGTTCGCTTCGTAAATGGCATGCCTGAAGCTGTACGTTCCTCCATAAAATGTTTGCGGATGATGCCAAGTTATTTCGGGAAATTAAGAACCAAGCAGACTGTGAAGAGCTGCAGAAGAATCTCTGTGAGCTTCAAGAATGGTTGAAGAAATGGCTGCTAAAATTCAATGTCACGAGGTGTAAGAGGCTGCACCTGGGACATAACAATGGTAAGGGGGCGTATCATATGTCCCAATGGGACGAAGAAACTGCATTAATTGAGACTGATTGTGAAAGGACCTAGGTGTGTACATTGACAATGAGCTGAAGTTCTCAGGCCATTTCGAGAAGAAGGTAAATTAGGCAACTAAATTATTAGGTCTTATAAGAAAGTCGTTCAGATATCTAGACAGTCCGGCCTTTGTGACGATCTTCAAGAGTGAAGTTCTTCCCTGTCTGGATTACTGTTACCCCGTCTGGTCCCCGAGATATGCTAGGGACTTTCAGTTGATTGAAAATGTCTAAAGGAAGGCCACCAGACTGGTGCCTGCACTACAGCACCTCAGATACCCTGAGAGATTAGAGCGCCTACAACTGCCTAGCTTATACTACAGGCGGGCAATGGGAGATCTAATTGAGGTGTATAAGCATCTCAAAGGGCACTACTCAGTCGAGTGCCCTTACCTGGAGCTGGCGGATGCTCTCCCCACAAGGGGTCACAGCTCAAGGTTGAAGGAGCCGCAAGCCCAGAACACTGCGAGGGGTAACTTTTTCGGAGTGAGAGTTGTGAACTCTCGGAACAATCTGCCAGAGTGTTGTGACGGCACCGAGTGTGAGCTCTTTCAAGACTAGACTTGATAAGCACTGGAGCAGGTTGAGATACATTTAGGAGCCACTGCATGCCCATTACTTGCCAACAGTTCGTAACAGAGACGTGAATGATCGCCCAAGCGGCTAACGAGCCGATGAGTGGTGAAGAGAATAAAAGTAAAAAGAAAAAAGTACCCACTTAGTGAATTACTCATGTGTCAGATTATTATTGTTTCTTTTGTTCTTTCAGAAAATTTCAGCAAAAACAGTGAAATTCAAGAGTGGCACAGTTCAAGCAAGCTTCAAGATTTTTCTGTCTGGGAAGGTGATTCTGAGGTGTAGTTTCAAGGCTAAGAAAAAAAGAACAACTCCTAAAGAGGTTAGTGTGTTCCCACTTACATGATCTGTAAAGTTTTTGGGAAATATATTTGTAATTTTTGGGTACTTTATATACAGTATTACATTGCTAAATCTGATTGTTATTGATAATTATTCAGCAGATGATGTATATTTACAGGTTGACTTAGAAACTCCAGACGAGTTTGAGATAATGGACTCGAGAGCGGTCATGTTGGAGACTGACCGGGCAGAAGTTAACGCAAGCATCGACACTGTGGTAAACAAATAAATCTGCATAATGTAGAATATATTGATATATTGGAATTGTCTCAGCTCAATATAAGGAACTAATCTTGAAGATGCACAGGTTTCTTAAACTGGATTATCATTGTACAGTAGTTTATCAGTGCTGTCTAGCAATCTCTTACTGATATGTAGGATAGTTTTAAGATGATATTGAAGTTTGTAATGTAATTTATTTACACTTAAAGAAAAAATGGATAATGTGAAACTTAAAATGAAAAGGGGAAGTACTGTACAGTATACTAAACAGTACAGTATTGATCTTGTAGTTAATTATTTCCATATACATTGATATATACACCAGAGCCTCAACATTTGCAAGGGATAGGTTCCTGACACCCTCGTGAATATAAAATTTTGTGATTAATTTTCTTTAATACACAACCTTTAATATCATACCTTTAAATAAGGACTGAAGGCTAAAAAAAAAATAAATAAAGCAAAAAACTTTACTTAAACCCTCTAAACACTGTACTACACAGTTACTTTATTCAGTTGTATTATGTTTAAGAAAAAGAAATTAAATAGGAATTAAGTAAATGTGGTGTGATGTAAGGGAAGTCAAACTAGGATGCATCGTCTGCGACCCACTCTACATGGCTTGTATCACCACCACTGCAGCGTAAACACACACACACACACACAAATGCAAGCCTGACATGCAAAACTGTTAATCAAACATGCATACATACTTAGTATTAGGTTTTCCTTTAACAAACTTATGACTGGGAGGAATATGTAATCTATCCCAGTCATAAGTGTAATATCAACATTATGGGAGCAAAATAATTAACAGTTATTTAGGTATATTAAGTGTATTTTTGTTCAATCCAGAATGCGACGTCTAGCTTTATACCTAGGTATGTAAATGCCTAGCAATAACTCGCCAGGCCAACATACAGGCAATTAAAAATCTAATAATTACTTAAATACGTAATACTAGGAGGACACGTCGCTACCTGGCATTTAATTGCAATTCTCAAGACCCCCTCCCGCACCCTCCATCACACACATTGCTAACGTCATCTTCTTGCCTGGAGATTTTTTTACCTCATAATAAGCCGCTGTAGAAGCCTTGGTAATGATACTGAAGATATTACTGCTCCTCCTTTAAGGCCTCTGGATTGGGATCAACCTGAATGTTCGATGAAGGGCTGGCAGGTGAGGAAGCCCTATTGGTGGAATGAAATGGAGAGGCAGGTCGTAGGTGTGGGAGGGGTGATGCAGATGACGCCGGGCTGGTTGGTGAGGAGAGAGACAGGAGTGGAGGGAGGTGGGAGGCTGGATCTTGGTGTTAAAATCATTGTGATTGGCAATTGTCTGGCTTTCTTTTTTAAGTTCTTTACAGATTTCATGATAAAGTTGCAAAGCATTCTCAATACTCCATTGATGGGTCATAGTCATAACAGTTGATTTGTTATCTCCAAACACACGGCTAACAGTTGACACGCTCATGCCACCAGTGAGTTTATCCAACACTTCAAATTACTGTCTAAGAGTCATCATCTTCTTTGCACTAGATCATGACAAAGTTAGAATTAGAGTTAGAAATGCTTAGGTGGAGGAGGAGGAGGAGTAAGAATTCCTGTGGCTGGACAACAGCAGAGACGACTCAGACAAGATTGGCGGGAGAACACAGTAGCACGGGAAGTGGCTGGATACCATGCCTTCACATCATGACAGGTGTCCACAGTTTTTAAAATGAGCACCATACCTTTTTATGGTATTTCAATAGATATAAATCTCCCTCTGAGGCTCCTTCATTGAAAATCAAATTCGCAAAAGTTAAATTCGCTTATGTTGAGGGTCTGGTGTAGACTACAGTACTGTATTCATAAATTAAAATAAACCCTAACAATTTAGAAAATATTTTAATTGCAATACAATGCTGTACCTGTATTGAGCAAATTTCACTTGACAATAAATAAAGTACTGTAGCCTAAAATGATTATTATTTTAATATATTGATGATTCTATATTTTAATCATGCCAACTTCATCCAGGTAACAATTAAGGTGCGGAATAGTCCATCACTGGATTCAGCTGCCTGTTTCCTCATGTACCAGGACCAGTCACCAGCTACAGGTATGCATGTACAATCCTAATGTTCAGAACTTAATCCCCTGAATACTGTACAATGCAAATTTATTCAAGGGAAGATGTCAACATTTCAAAGGGTTAAAATATCACACTCAAGGAATTAAGTCACTGTACTTTACTGAACTTCATTTTATCCTCTTCACCATACTAAAAAAATTAAGTATTGTAGTGTAGTAAGTTAATATTGTAAAGACTTCTATTTCATTTCAGTTCATTATTTTACTTCATACCCACTATACTGCATAGCTTGATCTATAATGCTCCATAATTCCATGTGTCCTTATGGAAGAAACAGTAAGAAGAGGTGAGAGCATGAAGTGGTGACTGGAATATGATTGACACATGCTAACACTGAATGAAAGTCAGCACATGTACCTCATGTGAACAATGCTGTACTCTACGGTTATTGAATCTGGACACAAGTGGAAAGGGTGTTAGTCAATGTGAAATGATATAAAGAAGTAACACATTATGATGGTGTATGTACTTGAAGAGCATGGCTAGAGGTAAATGGTATGATGGTAATATTGTACAGTGCTAATAAAAACATGAGAAGAAGACCAAGAAAGAAATAGATAAACTAATTTACAGTATGTACAGTACATTAATGAGGTTCAGGCATGGTAAGTTAGATAATGTTACAGTCGTCATTGTGGATCTTGTAAGATAGAATCATCTCATGTGTGATTCTGTAGTATTTACATAAACAAGCCTGAGGACTAAACTTAAAGGCAAAGAGACTTGATATGAAGTATTTAGATTATTAAGGCAGTTAAGGATCTGCTTGTATGTTGAAGAATTGAGGAAGTGTTGTGGAGAGTTTCTACCTGTTGTCTCGTTTCTTTCCAGTCATCTTCTATTCAGTAATATCATCAACATTCTTCCCTACCATATGCCCCTTTTTCTTGAGGTTTCTATATTCCTTGATTTATCCTACCATTAAGATGAGACAGAAGTAAAGATATAATCAGATATTAAAAATAGATAGTAGCCCAATAATATTTTTTAAATGTGGTAATACTTTATGTCAGCAGGTGCCAGTGCTAACTTGAGTAACAGGAGAGGACGAGGGAGTGGCCCAACCTCTGATCTGGCGCAGGAGCTGGCCACATATGTAATAGAGCCTGATAAGGTCGAGTGTTTAGTACCCAAGAATGCCAGGCCAGGACAAGCACAGATTGGTCTTGTCCTCACCGCTGCTGCACTCCAACTCATCTTAAGGTATACATAAGAGGAACACACTTATATTTTTATTTATCTCTTATTCAAGTCTATTTTTATGTTATTGTTATTATATTGAAGCCTGGTTACTTAAATAAAAGTAGTAAAAAAAATGGTTTAATCTCCTGCTATACTGGAGAAAAAAAATCAAAGGAGCTGTAACATTTTATGGTAAAAATAGTATTACAGATTTCATAGCTCATAAGAGATATTACTAAATGGTATATCTACACATGATCTCATTTAAAAGCCACTGTTGCTTTTTTAAGTTATTATATTTATATTTCCATGACAGACAGACATACTGTACACCAAAAAACTCTTATAGTTTTTGTGATATATCTACCCACCAAGGATAGATAAAAATCCACTAAATCCACTAAACAAAAAACAGTTAAAAACCACCATTTACTACATGCCAACACACCACCATCAGCCATTACATTTACCACCACCCACCAGATGTCACTCACAGTCATCACTGATAACAACTGTAACCTACCTACCCCCTCACTCATGAATATTATTTCTTAACTTGGTTTGGCTTCCTTCTTTACCTGTCAGAGCTCTACTGAATGTTCCCACAAAGTCACTGATGGTCAAAGCCTCAGCCCCTAAAGTTACCTCAGCTATCCTGGACTCAAGTGGACAGAATCTGGTTATCAGTTTTGATCAGAATATTGAATCAGAGACTGAGTGTTCTTTGCTGATTGAGTGGCCTTGGATAGAGGAGTCAAGTAAGTACAATGTCACCTTTCTTTTTTTTATTTGTTGACTTGGTGCACTACTTTACAGATTTTATCTTTTAAGGCTTAATGTATCTTTACTTCTCAATGCTTATTAACAATGGAGATCTTATATATTCAAAACCTTCATACTTGTTATCATTCCTTATACATTTTGTCTTTTGTTCTTATATCTGACTTGAACTAATATCTTCATTCATATCAGATTTCTTCACTAACTCCTTCATTAAGGTTCAACCATCAAAATTATTATTGCAATTGTACTGAGTCATGAAAATTCTCACTCGTGCTTCTCTGTTTAGTGATCTAAATTAGTTTAACATTTTCCCTGCTGGCTTGACTAATACATCCATTTTTGAACCGTTATAGCTTCCCATTTAAGTACTACCTAATTAATCATTGTAATTCTGTAAATTTCAGTAACTTAAGTTAATCAAATATATCGCCAAATATCATACTTATTTCATTAAACCACTTCACTATGAGGACACTATTTTTGATATTCTATTTGTTTAACACCAGCCAATTTTATTCAGTGCAGAAAGAAGCCTGTACACATAGGGTTAGAGATTACTTGAGAATAGTAAAGTATAACCTACTTTGTTCTTGACTGACCTTTGTCTCAGACACTTGACAAAACTTCCTTTGTTATTTTTACCAGAAAAACCGAAGCCAAACTGCAAGTTCCAAGCATCAAAGCTGCAAGTGAAACTTAAATCTGGCATTATGGTGAAAGCTAACACTTCTCTCACGTTTGCTGACTCAAATGGCATCCGAGCAGCTCATGGTGATGCCACAACTGCTCCTGAGGCCACAGGGAGCTTCAAAGTTATCCAGCCAGACTCCACGGTCAGTTTATCAGATGAGTTACAGGTCTTAAGTGATAAAGAGGTTTTTACAAAAAAAGAAGAGCTCTGTGAACTAGATATTTATTAATTGGAGAATGCCTTAAATTTTTAATTATCACTAGCACAACAAAAAAACACTTTCTGTAGGGTTTGTCCCTAGTGAATACTGTGGTTAGGCAATCTTAAGAAATGGAAATTAACAAATTTGGGTGAAATGGCTTTTACCTTTTTATATCCAGTGTTAGTACAGGAAACCAGAGACTGGGAACCTGTGATTTTTGGTAGGGTCTCACTGGATAACACCCTCCTTAACGTGTGCCTGGACCAAGGCTCAAACCCTTAATATATTGGCGAGAGATATACCTGTTATCGTGGTACCACCAATCATCTAAATCTAACTCTCCCATGTCTGTTAGAATTTTGTGTTTCTAGATTATGTGCTGCTATGTGCACAATATTTGAGGAAGATTGAAAGACTGACCAAAAATTTGCCATTATTGGTGTGGCCAGGAGATCACACATATGAATCTGGTGTTAACATTTAGAATTTTTACATAGTTATTCTACTGGGTATGCCCTTTTCTTTTTTCACATACTTTCCAATGTTTATGATGTTATTACATTACAAAGGCCACTAAAACTGTCAATGGTAAAGAGGGGTACAGTGTGATGAAGTGAGGATGTCATGGTGGTGGTGGTGTCTATAATTGATATTTACAATTTGACTCAGGATCTCCAACAAAGCCATCAGATGCTTGTTTCCTGTAGGGTCCTTTAGTTTGAATGCCAACAGCATCTGGTGTTCCCAGGCCATCACTCATCCAAGTTTCAACCAGACCCAACGTTGCTTAATTTCGCTAATCAAACAAGAAGCAGTGTTTTTAACTTGGCATGACAGTAATAATCACTCTCTGGCCAGGGCCTATCTTGCCTGCCTTCCTGCATGTGTACCTTGTTTGATATAGAGATAATGATGAGTTATAACTTGCTAATATTTGTGTTGCAGAGTGAGTTGACATTCCAACTGAGAGGGGACACCCAAGCCTGCAATACCTCCATCGTCAAGCTGACTGTAACCAGGATTAGAGGTGCCAGGATTGAAGAAGTCACGGTCTGTATCTCTCATGATCATAACTAGATCTCCAGATATCATGGCCAGCACTCCTGGCCAAGGTGTATTCTGTAATACTCTATTTATTTATATTAAGTGATATGTATTACAAGACAGCATAAGTTCCCATGCATTAACAAGTATCCTTTCCTTTAGCCTAAATGGAACATCACCTGGGAGCCTGGGAGTGGCAAGTGGAGTCAGGCAGAGACATTGCAGATGTGGGGAAGTATTCATGCCCTCCAGGATAAAATGACGATGTCAAGCAACAGTAAAAGTTTCTCCATGAGTGTACCTGGAAGTGGAGTGAGTCTTGGCATTGTGTTGGACATAGGACAAGAGAATATTTTGAACATAAATTTATTAATTTACACATCAGCAGTAATATACTGGACACCACTCCCTGATAAACACATATTTTCTTTCTGATCTTTCTTTTCATTTCAGTTAGTTTAATCAAAACCGTTTTTCTGCAAAAACAATTAATTTATTATGGTTTGTATATACTGTATTGATGCATTTTAAATACTGTACCGTCATGCTGCACTTTTCTCCTGGTAGCTTCTCCCTGGCAAGGAGTACCTAGTGGAGGTTCACTTGGAAGCAGAAGATGGTCGGAGCAGTGCATCACAAGGCAGGATCATCACTGCCATGCCTCCAGACCAGCTGCTCAAGATTCGTATAAATGGGCCAACCCAAATAAGGGCCACCAGCAGAGAGATGTTCAAGGCAAAAGCAACTCTATGTTCAGAGACTGAGTCTGTGGATGATAATAAACTGGAGGTACAACACTTATTTATTTATGTATAAAGCACCTCTTTTGTTCCACAACTTTCATAACAAGTCACTATGATCAGTTTGAGCTCATTCGCTGAAATAATACACTACTACATTATTCTATCTTACACTAAAACCAGTCACTTCAGGTATAAGAAATAATTTTTCATTATCTCAAAATATATATGTTTACAATCCATCAGCTGCAGGTTTTGGATACAATTTTATTATATTTCCAACTTTTCTTCTTTCATATTAGTTTGTTTAAACCTTTGGAATCAATTTTTTTCTTTCTAGTATTTCTCACTTTATTTTTCACCCTTTATATCTCAATCTTTACCGTTCAATTTATCATATTTTGTTTCCCTTACGCTTCAGTACTATTGGAACGTGGATGGCGAGGGGGTATTCCCAGTTGAACAGAAAGGGAAGACTTTCACCCTGCGTGGGGGCCTCCTTAGAGGTGGCTCCTCCTATACCCTGACTGTTACAGCATTGTCTCCTGACCCATTCATCATGGGGATTGTGAGTATGCTCTTGCTACTGCTGGTAAATTTGAGTATGTCCTGATGTTTCAAAGGAATCTGAAATACTTTTTAGTTTTCATTAAGAAGTTTTAAATCTGTATTAAGTAATAAAGAGATTTAGAATGTTTTATACCTAATGGCCTAAATCACTCCCTGACAGTGTTTGCCTTTTCCAGAGATCCCTTATGTGTCTAGCCTCAGGGAAATCATTATCCAGCTGAATTGGCTAATATTTGACTACTCAGAGCAGCTTATCACACTATTTAACCATGGTTCACTGAGGGTTACTTTAAAGGTTAGCAAGGCTTCAAGAACACCAACGTAAAACCGAAATTTAGGTTCACAAGTTTCCATGTGGTGGGGAGCAGAGCTAGGGGCAGGCCAAAAATGACATGGAGAGATTGTAAAAATTACTTCAGAGATAATAACCTGATGAGACAGGCTGCATGGAGAGCTGCTGTTATTGGGTTGTAATATAATTTAGCTGATTTTTTGGCTTTGGAATATTTGTAGATGCTGCCAAGGGTGTGAAATCCTTTATGCCTTTATTGTAGTAAAAGATTTGGATAGCACATTTTGGCAGTGATTACAGAATTTTCGGCTCCTAATTTGATTATGGTGCCAATATTATATTTGGGCTTCTTTCAAAGTTATTAGAACTATTTTAAACTATTTATGATCCATTGGCTTCCATCAGAGTCGGGTTGAACTGATAACCATTAGCCAGGGACTGGAGCTTATCACTTCTTCTGACTCGATTAAGGTGGGTTCAGTCTCATCTATCAAGATTCATGCCTCTGAATGCAAAGACCTGGACAACCTTCCAGGTTCCCTCTCTTTCAGGTGAGTACCTCAGTATAAGGGAGTACCTGAATATATAGGGAATAGTGAACATATCATTCAGAGAGGTGCCTTACTACATAAAGGAATCTATTATTGTATATATTATTGTACATATGATAAAAGATGTAAGTCTTTTTCACTGAAATAATCTGCCAAAGAATGCTGTGACAGCACCAAGTGAACTCATTTAAGACCAGACTTGACCAACACTGGTGCAGATTCAGATACATTCTGGAGCCAGTATACGCCCAGTACATTACTTGCCAACAGTGAGTAACAGAAATGTAATCGCCCTCCTAGACTGATCAGTGGTGAAGAGGACACCACATACGTACAGTTGCAGACAAATGAGTCAAGGCCACCTAATCCACCATCACACTGTTGGAATACTTGCTGCAATTAGTAACAGTTAGTTGTAAGCCAAAGAATGGAGAGTAAAGGCTATGACGAAGTTTGGCATCCAACCAATAGATGGCATTCATGAATGGGAAATTGTTGTCTACTTTTTTTATGATTAGTAATTGTTCATATTTGTTGACAGAAAAAGTGAATGAATTGTAAATTAAAATTTTTTGACTACCAGGAAATTTAGTAGCTACAGAATTCCAGAAACCATAAAAGTTAGCTTAAAACTACAGAAAGCACATATGGTAATCTGTAATGGAAATTGTGTAAAATTATTTCAAGGTTCTCTGATTTGTGTCATGTTGGAAATAATGCTTCTTGTTTGATCAGTGAAATTAAGCAACATTGGGTCTGGTTAGTATTTGGATAGGTGACTGCCTGGCCCAAAGAACACCAGATGCTGCTGGCATGAGGACTCTACTGGAAATACGCATATCATGGCTTTGTCAGCTGTCCTTGGTCAAAATTGACTAAATATCAATTACTGTACTACACTGTATAAGTATTACAACCAGTTACCCAAATTAAACTTTCTGACCTCAGAGCCTTCATCAGAGCACTGAGGAGTATAGTAATGTATCTAGGATGAAATTTAGCCCATAAAAAGTAAGTTGTGTAAGTGTAAATCCAGTTCTTGAATAAATTACAGGTGCTCCTCTACTTACGAACGAGTTACGTTCCTGAGGCTTGTTTGTAAGTCCAACTTTACTCTTGTAGATACCAAACATATTGTAAAAAATGAAAAGATTATGGATATTTAGTACAGCTATACCCTTTAATGCAGCCTTAAAACCTGTTTGTTCGATCTGGAATTTTCTTCAAAATATTCCAGTCTCATCCACATTAAACACCTGTTCTGGCAGGTAACCCCCTCAGTGATGATGTTTGTATCTCTGAAAGTTTGTAAGTTGAACGTTCTTAAGTAGAGGAGCACCTGTAGTACGTCCGAGATTTTTTGTATGTCTAATTTTTATGAACATATTATATGACGTTAATGTCCCTCCCCTCTCTCTGTCCACTCAGCCAAGGTCACAAATTAAACGATGTAAAAATAGTCCTGCTATAGTAAATATTTTTTTATAGTTATTTACCTTACCTTACCTTACCTTACCTTACCTTACCTTACCTTACCTTACCTTACCTTATATTTTACCTTTATAGTTATACCTTACCTTACCTTACCTTACCTTACCTTACCTTACCTTACCTTACCTTACCTTACCTTATCCTTTTCGCCACTGGTCGGCCTGTTAGTTACAGTATTGGGTATGCACTGGCTCCAGAATATATCTGTACCGGCACCAGTGTTGGTCAAGGCAAGTCTTGAATGTGCTCCACTAAAGAATTACACTGAAAGACATTAAAGGCCAACAGTGATGTTCTTATTTAGTGTCCAAAAGACTTTGTTATACAGTATTCATAAATGCAGGTTTTATACTAACCATAGATTTATGATAAATAATATTAGGCAGCCATTAGTATTTGAAAGTGAGCTATGGTTCAACTAGTACTAATATGTTTTTATTTTTCTGTATAAATATATGTGTGTATTAATCATCAGGTGGTGGTGCAAAAAAGAAAGTGGTGAAGGCTGTTTTGCTAGCAGTGGCAAAACTCTCACACGACTTGAGAACACCTTGTCAAAGGAAGAGCTGTCTAGCCCCATATTCAAGATCCCAGGGGCTATGCTACCACCTGATAGGTCAGTAGTATGTCATAGCTGTTTCAAGAATTGCATATTTACTCTTTATGTATTTTTTTACTTGTTTATAATTTCACCACTTATTAGTGTATTAGCAATTCAGCTGTTCTTTATTATTTTGCTTTAACCTTTATTGGCCAGTGTTGGTACAGGAGGAAACTGGAGTACCTGGAGAAAACATCTGTCCGGGGCTTGGGATTAGAGCCAGGACACAGCTGCCACTATAACATCAATATCACCAATGAATGCCATAGGTCATCACATAAAAGGAATCTCAAACAGTTGGCACCACTATAATGAATCATGCATGTGATGGGACATTGTTGATTATCTGGCGCCTCCAGTAGGATCATTTACCTAATTGGCATCCTAGATCGTATTGTCAATTGTTATTGCTTCCATGACATTTGTGTGTAGCTTCATCTGGACTTATTAATGCTCATAAATTAAGCATACTATTTCAGTGTGATCATGCATAGTATACATATGTAGTAAATGCCTAATGAACTGCAGTAAAGTATAAACTTACACCATAGACACCTCAATTCAGAGGACTATTGGTGCTCATATTTGGGGTCTGGAACTTGGGTTGCATGTTGTGAAACAAACCAGAAAATGACTTTACAAATAGCTGTGTATTTTGTCAACCAATTAACTCAGTTGTCATCCACATACAGCATAACTAAGACATTTTTCCATCATAATGTAATATTTTTTCTTAATTACCAAACTATGCAATATAGATACTGTATACTGTAAGTGTTTTTTTTGCTCTTCAACAATTATTAAAAAACTGTTGTACCAAGCAGTATAATTTTGCCAGTGCTGTAAACGGTTCCTTAGTACAGTACGCTGATCATCTTTCATACATTAATGTTGTTACAGGTATTCTTCACTGATTTTATGTGACTAATAACAAAAACATGCAGATTGATGTACAGTGAGTTCTGCTATAACGCGTGTTTTGACAACGCGAATTGGCTCTAACGCGATTTATGAATAGATGAATGATATTTGTATAATGCGAATGCTTGTTCGCTGTAACGCGATTTTTGCTTACTATTTCTCCAATTTTGTGATATTAACTGTGAATATGGTAAAGAAGAATATCTCCAAGAAGCATTCTGGTGATCACATTCCCAGTGATGATCGTAAAAGAAAGGCTATAACCCTTGAAGAGAAGCTCGATGTTATCTACCTCAAAATCACCGTTCTCCCCCATCAAGTTATATTCATATTTTTGCAAGGTAAAGTGTTACATTTACTGTATGATTTCATTATTAGATATGAATGTAACATTTATTTAGACTGTGCTATCCTTTGTGTTAGGTTAACTACTAAATTTTTTCGATTTCGAGTAATCTGCACCTAACCCTATTTTTTCCATAAGCCCTGTTATTTCTATTACAGTACGCGAATTTCTATAACACGATGTTTTACAAGAACACAACTATCGCGTTATAGCAGAACTGACTGTATACCATAATATAATACCCATAACACAATGTTGTGCTGAGATTTCTATAAGCAGCAGAAAACTCTTATGGCAGTGTAATGATTTAACAATTGGTGTATTGTTGCAGATACATTATAAGTGTGGAGATAAGTAAAAATAATATCTCGGCTCAAAAAGATGTGAACGTGGAGGTCACCGCAGGTCAGTGTGCCCTCATCACCACCAAGCCTTCATTTTCTATCGCCAACCCTCAGAAGCGGGTAAGGAGAGAGAGAGAGAGGAAATTGTTGCAAACACTGTGTGAAAATATTTTCTTATTGTGAGATGAGTATTTGATAAATTCCTTTAGTTAAATTAGTAGGAGGAGAAGTCTGACATAAATGGAAGAAAGAGTAAAGTTATCTGTTTGAAAGAGAGGAACAACATCAGTATCTTGTCAGTTTGAAAGGTGAAAAACAGGAGGTTGTGAATGACCTGAGGCATTTAGATGTAATTTCCAAAATAGACAATGGGTCTTCGGAAGATTAGGTCCCAAGCTTATTTCACCTTAAGGTTAACTACCCTAATGCTAAGGTAACAAAATCACCTCCCCGGGTAATGTAATGGTGTTTAATAATTTGAGGTGAAATAAGCTGAGGGGCGTAATCTTCAGGTGATCCCAGACAACAATATAAAACATTAAATCAATGCAAATATTATTTAAAAATTCATTCTGATATCTTGTGAGGCTCTACAATCACACTTAGCTGGAAACGGTATATTGTGGATAGATATATACTGTAAGATGTGGAGGAAAACAGAAAATGAGTGAGAAATGAGTTTGTATAACTGAAAGTACAATAGAGAGGAAGGGATCAACTGATGTGAGTTGGTAGAAGAAAAACAAAGAGATTATGCACAGGTGAGGTGAAGGAAAGTAGAAGCAAAACAGGATCACAGGAGTAAGGTGGAATGGTTGATACATGTAAGGAAGGATCAGGAGTAAGGTGGAATGGTTGATACATGTAAGGAAGGATCAAGAGTAAGGTGGAATGGTTGATGTATGTATGAAGATGATGGAGATATTCCCAGGCAAGGATGTTTACTGGCACACAAAGTTTTTTTTTTTTTTTTTTTTACAGGGGTTAGTCCACCCGGGCACAGGTCACTGACCCACATCGGGGCCTGGGGGGGGGGGAAGCGAAAATATAATAATAATAATAATAAATTTTATTAAAAAAATGTAAAATTAAAAATAAATTAAATTATAATAATAATATAGATCAATAGTGAGAAACAATATATGTATGTTGTGTTATCAAAGTGAGAGAAACAATTGAAACCCTACAACTATGTGTATATGAGGCAGAAAGTCAGATGAGCAACCTGGGACTTGGTCACAATTTTTGTGATGCCATATGGCAGCAGGGTCTACCATTAGACAATACATTATGCTTCCAATATCTTCCCAGGCGGTAGTACCTCCCTGTTTGATAGCTGCCTACTACCTACTACCTGCAATTAAATAATAATACTGTAATAATAAAGATCAGATACAAACATTATGAGCAGGTAGTACTGTACATGGGCCGTCTTTGTGAATATTGGAAGATGACATTTTAATGGATGGAAACAATGAATAAAATGGATAGAGACAGGCATAATGGAGAGATAGAGAGAGACAAAACTAATAGAGGCATAATAAACAAATGCAGACAGGCATTATGGATAGAGGTTGGTAGACATAATGTATAGAGTTAGAGAGATATGATGAAGCCACTCATGTTGTACCTCACACTGCAGATACTTGTACCCACCTTCATCACTGGTCCAGCAGACTTAGAAGTGCAGTGGATCTCGGTTGAAGAATCTGGATATCTAAAGGCTGATATATCACAGATACCTACTGGGAAAATGGTCAAACTTTGGGTAAGTGTGAGAGAAAGAGATTAATGTGACTATCCACCAGCTATATGGATGGTATTTTCAAGCCACTACTAATTGTACTCATTCATACACCTTCTCTCCTTCCTAACAGCATCACTTAAAACACATGTAGCCGACTGGATCTTTACCACCAAACAACTAACCCTACACTTGCCTACATAACAATATTATTCCTTAATCCTACCCCTCTTCCCAACAACCCCTTTATCTTTTTGCTATGTCAAAAACTCTGAGGCCCTGCACAGTTCTTATCGAGACCGAGAAAATGAAACTTGCATAACTGATTTTCAGTGAAGGAATACAGTACATTACAGTTGATAAAGAAACTTGTACTTGTAGCTGTAAGCAACTTTATCTTGTGCTTTTTATAAACTGTCTGCTACCAGTCTTGAAATTGAATCCGCAAGCCTTGTTTTAGTAGCTGCCTAAACATTGACTCCCCATCACATAAAGTAAGTGTTCATTTTAGCTGATAATAAAGAAAGTCTTATCATTGTTTATGTTAGGAGTGTCAGAACTTTAGTGTTTAACAACCTGCACTCTGTATTATGATTCAGAATGGATTGTTAGAAAACTTATGTAATGAATGTGAGTTAGAGGCACAGATATTATTCCACCTTGGGAGTTGCTCATTCTACACACAATATTCATTTTAGGAGTTATTATGTGCTTCCTGACAGCTGGCTTATTCTGAACTGAGCTATTCAGTGAGAGCAGTCAAGTCTGAGCTATCCCTCATCCAAGTGTCCTATAGTGTGGGCTTGCTCAAGGGCATCATCCCAGGTAACATACCCTGGAGGGAATTTATAGGGAATTCTCCCTGTTTTCTTAATTACTCTCACTGAATTGTTGACTTGTTTTCTCTTGCAATATGGAATTCCAGTAATGAACTAATGAGACAATGTGCAGAAGACTATGTCAAAGGTCACAAATACAGTGTAAAACCTCGTCCAATGTTTAACTCTATTGATGCCATCATTAAGCTTCACAAGAATACATATCATTACTAGACAAAGTGTCCACTACAGAATTCAAGTCTGTGTTAAAGGTCAAGGTTGCAGGAAGGTCAGAGGTCACACCAATGTGTGACATTTTTATCAATGCTGATGTTTTGATGAAACTTTAAATGAATATGTATTAACACTAGACAAAGTGCAGAACACAAAGTTCAAACATTTCCATCATAAGGTCAAAGTCACTGCTGGAGGTTAAAAGTCATTACATTGCCCAGCTAACTCTTTTATCAATACTGTACATATGTTTGGATGAAATTTGACAAAATTATGTATTATATTACTGGTTAAAGTGTAGAATATCGGATTAGAGTCTCAGGGACACAAGTCATGTTCACTAGAAGGTCCAGGAACGTTGTCTAAAGTAATAGCTCTTGAACTGACAAAGAGAAACTTTAATAAAACTTCACATCAAAATGACCATCACAAAGCAGGTTGTAGAACACCAAATTTCAAACATCAAGGTCATTGCTGAAGACCAATGATTAAAACTCTGTCTACAGCATAACTTTATGTCTAAGCACTGTAGACATTGTGAATGAATATTTGTCATCACTGGACAAGTGCAGAGCACTAGATTCAGGAATTTTTGTCAAAGTGGGCTCACAACTGAAGGTTTACATATAATTATTATTATTTTTTTTATTAATTTTAAGACAATAAACTTATACTTATTTTAAGACCTAATTTTTATCATCTATCTTCAGGTTAAAGCTGTTTTATACTTTGACTCAAAGGTTTTGGAGAAAATATATTATTTATTTTTAATTTTTTTTCCCTGGGGTACAAGCGGTCTCTTATTGCTGAATAAGATTTTCTGGTGTTAGCCAAATAAAATATGAAAAGTGGCACCCAGTAGTGAAGGAGTTAATTTGAGATACAGTACAGTATCTATACAACCCCTTTCAATTGCTTAATTCAGTCCTACAGTATGTTTCAGTTTGCTTTCTAATGGTAAAATAATGTACAGTATTATACTTTTTAATTACTATATGGTTATTTGGTAAAGATTTTTGTTTTGGTTACAAATTAAAGATTTATTGACACCATTCTTTTCAATTATTTTGAAAATGTTCTGATCTTTTTATTGGTAAAAACACCACTGAAGGCTTTGTAGATATTTCCTGTAAAGTATTTAATTTCAATGCAGTGTCTACTGTTTATTATATATGTCCTAACCCGATACATAATCACTAAGAATTATCTAAGATTTATGACCTGGACAGGGAGAATCCAAGGAGCGGGAACATGACCTGGTGCTGCCCATACCTAGTGAAGAGGAAGAGAGCACATTCACAGGACTCGAAGGTGACGCATCCTACAAGTTCCGCATCCTGGTAAAGACACCTCAGGGACAGTCATGTTACAGTGACCTACTGCTGCTAACTAATTCACCCCCTGAGGCAGGCTCCTTTGAGGTATAACCTACAATCTTTGTGTTACTGTTGTGTTAGTCTCGTCAGTACAGGGGGTTTTCATTATATATACGTCAAGGATGTGCTCCAGAGAAACTTAGCTTATCGTGAAATGTTTTATACAGTAATAAGGAATTTTACCCATAAGAATGAATGTAATTTGGGGTACAGTATATGCATTCCAACGTACATTAATGCCCCGTGAAAGCTCGGGATGTGCTCCTGGATAGAGAGGAATTTTAGCAAATAAGCTTACAATGGGGTCATTATAACATACTTCAGTATATGATATAGAGAGAGATGTTCATAACAACATTATTTATTACCTATGAGTGATACAGTATGGCTTGATTTTGCTACTTGTACACTTTGACAAATGAACAGTCGATAACCAGGGTACTGTATATGGAGATGCTTTATACACTACACAGTAATATTTATTAAATGCTAATAAATACGCTACAATATTATTTGCTAAGTGCTGAAGACAGATCCTGTGGTAAGTACTAACCTTCTTGGGCAGTGACAACAACAGTGCTTGAGAGATGGTGATTGCTGGCAGCATTGATAAGGAGAACGGAAACAATCTGCTGTTACTTATCTCTAAACGACGGGGTTCCGTCCCGAGAACCAGGTCGTAAGTCGAAAAGGCAAAAATAATACATAGAAATTCTAAAATGGGTGTCTCTCTTTCTTCTCAGCACCACGAGAACTCTCACTTTTACACTTGCCAGCCATTTTAAAGGGAATTACAAACAAAAAAATTTTCAGTACACAGCGCGATCACTAACGTCGGGACTCAAAAATACGTAATGTGAAAAATATTTTGTACGACCATGGCCGTCATATGTCCGGGTTGTCGCAAGTCGAGGAGAGACTGTACATGCAAACCCTTCTTTGGATGGATACCACGCTCTTGTAGTAGTATGGTGTCGACTCGGGTGCTCTCTACTTGAAGACACTCATTAAGTCTACGGACTGTGGGGTTAGCATAACCCACAAGACTGATAAATTTATTATTCCACCCTTTGCAGATGTTGTTGTTTTAGGTTGGCTGTCAAGGGTGACCTGGAGCATGTTCCTCTTCTCAGGTGGGAGCATCAGTGGCATGCAGTGCAGGCAGACAGGTGTAATGACTATAGGTTGAATACTGTTGTCCCGTCTGTGACATAACCGTCGAGAAACATATGTGGCGTTGAAGTACTCGATGAGTGCTGCTGCTTCATCTGGCATGGCGGAACGAAGATACTGCATACCCTCTTTAACACTCTGTGGAGGCAGTAGTTTATTAAAAAAAAGAATAATAATAATTTCTAGGTGTAGATATCCATCAGTAGGCATAGTAAAATTCCTTGGCCTAAATGTCCACCCTACATACAGCTAAACGTCCCATGGTCCAATCGTTGTACAACCCTCACACAAGTATAAAATAGTGAATGATGCAAACAACATACTGTATATGTGAAACAAATGAATTATAATGAAAATTTCATCATATACTTGTTAGCAATGTATATGTGAAGGACATATACTGTATTGGTACAACATATAATGAAGACCCCTTTTGCTTTACTTTATTGAACTGTATTTGCCATTGGTCGGCACTCTATTCCAGATTTCTTTTCACTTTCACTCTTCTTCGACATTTCAGTCCCAATGAAAGTTTTATTCTCTATTATTTCCAGTCTTTTAAAGTTGTAATTTACAATAAAATTCTATTCCTCTTGAAGTTATAATACAGTACACTTGTAACCTTGTCCCTAAGGCGACGAAGACACTGTTGTACCTCTTAAGCCTACAGCGCTCATCTGTTACTTCCTCCATTACAGGTGTCACCAACCAGTGGAGAAGCTCTTGCCACAAATTTCACCTTCAAGGCATCAGGCTGGACAGATTCCGACAATCGTTTGACCACGTATTTTGGATACCAATTAGAGGGTGATGATAGTGAGGAGTTTCCTGTTGTGTGGACCTTTGTTACTACTGAGGAAGACCCCACCGCCGACCTCATCCTCCCTGCAGGTTGGTACGAGGGACCATGTGATTGTATAAGTTGTGATAATTACATAGAAGAGGATTTATGCTGCATGAATATATTTGAAGGGTATACAGGGTATTATGTTAACTTAACTCAAATGCAAGATATCACTGTCTGCTCGCTTTTATGCTATCTACCTGGTGCTAACAGCTATTAAATTATTGTTTTACATCATAAAATTAGATCACATAATAAATTACATAATAAAATTAGAAGCAACAGAAATATATTTGAAAGGAAATATGTAATATGAGGTAAATAAAATATAGAGAATAAGATATATAGAAGTAGGGAAGAGATGTGCAAGTGAGAAAAGTTTTGTTATGACCATTTTGAGAGATTGGATAGTGAAAGACTGGTAATAAATTTATATAGTTTACTGTACAGGTAATGCAGAGGTGGATTGTAGGGGGGAGTTAGGAGGCCCAAGAAGAAGATGGATCATTGGGCTGAAGGACACACTGTAAGAAAGGGATGGATCAGTGTGCATCAGTGAATGGTGTCATGTGAGTTTTGGTGATAGTCATGCTGTTTCAGGTGATGCTAGGTTGAGTGAAGTAACAGAGATAGATATTTGGGGCCAAGCTGTGTTTAACTACAGAAAAAACACATTTATTATAGTACAGGTATTATGAGTCTATGAAAGGCTCTGGGTCTAGGTACACTGTGTTATAGCAGCAAAAAGCTTAAAAGAGTGAGGGAAAAAATATGAAGCACAGTACTGTATATGAGTCACAACAGACCATTAACATCCTCCTAACTATTTCAGATTCAGACAATTCCAAGGTTATACCGATGATTAAGGTCTGTGACAGCTATGATGCCTGTACTATCAGGAAAGGCTATTTGCTGACTCTTTCTTTCCCTTCGGAGCTGCCCCCTGACTTGCTCAAGTGAGTGGCCTTGACGCTTCCTTGGTTGATGAGTACAATAATTAGGAAATGCCACCTATCCCAAAGGTTACTCCTACAAATAAATAAGTTGTTTTGAATTGCTTCTTATATCCATAATCAACTACTGTTATGACTATGAAGGCCTGTTCACTTTAGAGACTACATATCTGTCTATAGTTACACCTGCTTAAAGGTGAATGATGAACTGTGTGTAATTTTATTAATTTTTTAATGCCATTATTATTTATGCTGTATTTTTCCGGAGCACATATAACATTACTGTCCTGTTATCTATTAAACTGCTGTATAAATATATTGTGGTATTTCAGCTGAATTTTCTTGTACTTTACATCCAAATGAAAAGTTTGTGCAACTCCCATTATTCACTGTACGAGTTTTATCATACAGTAAATTTTTTCTCCTGAATAAATTTGGAAATAACCCTGTACAGTACTAATTAATTTTGGATGTTTTGGACAGAACTTTGATTGCTGACTTTAGGAGCCAGATGCAAGATGATGCAATGACCAAGGCAGCACTGGATACCATAACAACTTACATGATCACTTTGGCCTCCATGGGAAAGGAGAATGAGCAGAACTTCCTCCTGTATCAAGTGGAGGACAGCGTAAAGGAGAAAATAAATAGTCTTTTTAACAGGTGTGTTTCTCTTTTAACCCTTCTACAGAAACTCATTTGGTACCAGTGCTTAATGTGCCTTATGCTTCATTTTAATTTTTCTCTTCATATTATCATGCTAGAAAACTTTTATTCTTCTTCTGAATATATTCATCTCTTACATTTATAAATTATTTTATTTTTAACTTGCCCCACCTATCATCTCTCAGTATTTCACATAAATCAAAAACTGTATTTCAAATTATTCTACTCCACCCTGAACTTGCATCATTCCAAGGGTACCTCTGAAGTTTGACAGGCCTCCCATATATTTCATTCTTAAAGCCATCACATTTCTATTTTTCCTACCTGCAATTGTGTACAATATACTGTAGTTCCATAAGTCATCAGAGCTATATTATCGGTAAACTCTTTAATTATATACAATCCTGGAACTCATCCTGTGTGTGCATTTCAACACTGATATGTGAAAGTATAGGTTACAATTCAGGATATAGGAAAAAAGATTTATACAGTACTGTATATATATTCTTTCAGTGAAAACGAGCCCGGAAGGGCATAAAACAACGTCATTCACTAAGTCACTTGAAAGCAGAGGAAATTAGTCACTAAAGATCGACTGTCTTCCTAGACATAGAAGACGAGCCGTGGTCGCCATGCTTGACCAGACCGTATAAAAAATTGCCCCAAACACAATATCTGACAGACATAATCAAAATAAAAGTGATATTTTCAGTACAGTATACAGAATGTGTCATGGACAAATATACACGTCTTTTTAATACAGTAGTATAATTAATTTTTTGTCATTTTCTTCAAACAATACAGTATGTGTAAAGTGACAATATTTCTTTGTGTTCAAGGCAAAGTCTTTAACAATTTACCAAATGGTACCTAATTCATTAATTCAGAGAGTTACATGGCACTTGTGTTTTCAGAATGAAAGCTGATTCAGCCTCAATTGAAAGGAGTTCAGACATGCTGGAAGGATTATGGAACATGGAAGACCAATTCACCGTTGGCAAAAATGTTCAAAGAAAAATGAAGACCCTGGGAGAATTGGTGTCTGCTGCAATTCTGGGAGAACCAATAGAGAAGGTCCAAGCTGAACTACCTGAAACCCCCGAGGAAGATGCAGGAGATCCCATCCACTTTCCAAGTGATAACCAACAATTGGACAGTGTTAGGAATTTACAGAATTCACCTTTGATGAAAGGAAGGTGAGTTTTTAGCTACTCTATAAGCCACACTCATTTCCAACTAAATGAGATGGAACAGATACAATAAACATCAAATGACGATATAATGCAGGTAATATGATGATGACTGTAAGCAAAAACATAAAGCTTAAACAAATCCATTAAAGCTCAATTGCTGAGTGAGACAGTGAAGCTGGATCACCTAAATGTTTAATAACTAATGCACAGTATTTACTAGACTCATTGTCATTGAGACTTACATCTCCCATTCACTCTTTATCTTTCACATTTCTTCAAACGTGGGTGCTTTTGTCACTCTTCTAGTATATTCCTCTGACATATTCCTAGACCTCCATAAATTCACTTCTGCCTCAGTCCATCTCTTATGTCCTCAACATAATGATAAAGATTCAGGATGAAAAAGTTGTGATTTTGATAATTAGTAATGTAAATGTCCCTGCATAATATTTCACCCTGTAAGTTTTAAATGGTGTTCTTTTATACATCCCTAGATGATACATCTGTAGGACATCACTCCCCATAAACCACTTCACACCACGCCTTCTCCAGCCATCCATTCACACAACTCCTTCCTTTTCTTTAATTTTGAATCCTAAACCTGACCAGTTTATTGGTGGCCTTTTTTCCAGACGTAGAGCAAGACGAGTGAAGCGCAACGCAGCTCCTGCCAACGGGACCCAACAGTACAATCCCTTGACGGAAAAAGATGTGTGTACTTGTTAATATTATACTTCTTAGTGCTAATGTAGTGTTTCCAAAATTACCAAGGAGTTTTGATTATATCGCTTTTCAATGTGTTACTGTGTAACTGCATTGTAAACTTCTACAATATTTAGTGATTAGATAATAGGCTGCTCAGAAATGCTAATTGAAAATATTTTTTTGGCAATTACTGTGTTTATGGTGAGGTAAATTAATTCCTTTGTGTGGCTGACAGGTGATCCTACTGCTGAAGGCAGCAGAGCAACCCATTATGGTGGCCACAGATGGCAAAGATACTTCTGATGACTTGAGGAAGCTACTATTCCAGGATCTACCCAAGTAAGTGGTTGCACTTGCTGGTAGCATTTGTCGTTGTAAAGTCTGACATGATATAACCTTTCTCCAGGTTTCTTTTCTTTATGAATTCATCTCCTCCACGTTCATTCCTTCAAAAGCCTTGGTGTCAGTCCTCTATATGGGTTACAACTGTACCGTGTTATTTTATTTTATTTGTAATTTTTCATAAATTTGTAGAGTTGAGTGAAGCTCTTTGGAAGTTTATTTATCTTGTATAACTAGTGACTACATCATCTAGGAGTGGCCTTGATAAGAACAGTGATACAATAGTCAGTCACTGTATTGGGCTGGTAGTCCATTAGCTCCTGCCTCAAATCTCCACTTGGGAGGCAGTGTGTGTGGTATCCTCTGAGCCAATTAAGTAATAAAACCTTATCCCCACAATCCTGACATAACAACCCAACTGGTTTATAAATATCCAGGCCTTAAGGAGGTGAGACTTACCTGTCCTATCACAATCTATATGTGATTTGTGATGACAGGCCCATGTGACTGGATGTCCTGGGATCAATTCATAAATTTTATCGAGGCACACTGTTATTAATACTACATCTAGTTAATCACTATCACAATGCAGAAATGGAAACTCAAAGTTTTTTCATGCCCCATCTCTCTCTTTGTGATCTCTTGTTTCATATGTAATTTAAAGATTAGGTAAAAGATCACTTCAACAGTTTCAACAGGTATGCTTTAATACAGGTTTATCATCATCATCTGAGGGTAAAATCACTTTCTGATGATTATTGTGTATGATGACTTGTCAGGCTTGAAATAGTGTCGTTTTGTTTATGTAAAAATTGAGAGTGATTCCCCCTTGCCATTGTGATGTAACTCACAATGGCATGAGCAGCAGTATCCTACATAATGGTACCCAGTTGGAGTTCTTCCCATCTAAATGGGGGTAGTTCCAGAGGCTAACATCCTTACGTATGCCAAATCGGCTGGTAATGATGGAGGAAATTTTTTGTGAAAAAGAACCCTTCACTTTATGTGGTAGATGAATGAAATTTAGTGCCAAGAAAAAACGTGTAAATCCTTAGTGAAAGTGTTAGTGAATATACCTGGCTACCCCTCAGCAGACCCTCTCTCCTCCCACCCCTACACATTGCAGTGTTTGCCTGAGCCACCACAAAGATGAACTTCAGCTCTTCAGCATGGCTAAACCAAACTAGAGAAATCATTAATTCTTTCCTTTCCTATTAGTCTGCATGCTTACCTTTAATTTTGTAAAATGATAACATATTTTCTAAGAACTTTTATTTTTTTTTAAATTGCACATATGGTGTATATCACAGCAGAAGGGTTAAAGATTAGTTTTATAAATAGAAACACAATAACTTACTACACTATCATATTAAACTACTGTATGTCTTTTTTATTTTTAGGTATTATGCTGGACTGTGTCTTGGGATAAGCTTACAGGATCCCCCAAGTCAAGTGCTGGGAAACCTGGTTGCACTAGCAATGAGGAAGTCCAATTTCATAGATGATGTAGAGAAGAAGGTTGTCATTGCCAACAGCAAAGGCGACAACAAAGATTTTGTTAAACAAAACAGCTTTGTAAGTTTTTACTTTTTTTTTTTAAGACTGGTATAGTAGTACAGAACTCTCTAAAATTATTATAATTTTTCTTATTGTAGTCATTCATACATCATTATGGCCATTAAGGACATCACATGTGACAAAAGAAATAGTCCATACTTTTTGGCTTGGTGCCTGTACAGCAGGTAGTTCAGTTGACCCTTGCTATTTGCTGGGGTTAGGTTCCATAGATCCCCATGAATTGTCAAAATCTGCAAATAGTATTAGTGGCAATAGTAGTACACGGGGGAGCAAACACCCAAACCGCTGGACCTCATCATAACTAACGAGGCGGGTATGGTAGCCAAGCTGGAACACTTAGGCCCAGTTGGCACCAACCACCACGTAATTTTGTCCTTCAGACTCAACTGTTATTTGGTTCATGACAAAAACAGGTATAGGTTCCAATATTACAAAGGAAATTATGATGGGAGGAGACTGGCCTGACTTACAAAGATCTAAGAATGCAGATACTATACTGAATATCATAACCAGTAATGTTAACCATTTGATCAATAAATATATACCCAAGACCAAACCCAGTGCCTCCAGGAATACAAGGAGACTGTTACACATGAACCGTGTGGCAGTTGACAACTTTAAGAAGAAACCTCAGGATTTCGAGATGTGGGTTAGGACAAATGATGGGCAGGACAGAAGCATTTATACCAGATTGAGAAAGAAAGCAAAGACAGAGTGTAGAAGGGCTGAAAAAGAGTTCCAGAGGCAGATTACAAGTGAGTTCAAGTCACACCCAAAGACTTTTTACCACTAAGCAAAGTCAAAATTAAAAACGCAAGCAGGCATATTGGACCTGAGGCTTGAAAATGGTAGCTATGCAGATTCTGACCAGGACAAGGTGGAGATGTTGAACAATTTCTTTTCCTTGGTGTTCACAAGAGAGGATGCGAACAATCTTCCTGCATTTGAGGAAAGGTGGTTTGACAGTGCTGACCCACATTGTATTCTCAGAAGAGGGTATAAGAAATAAATTGTCAAAGCTAAAGATTCAAGAGAGTCCCGGCCCTGATATGGTACACCCAAGAGTGCTACGAGAACTGTGTAATGAGCTTGTGGAGCCCCTTAAGATTCTGTAATATGCCTGGATGATCAAAAGTCCCCAATGACTGAAAAATGGCTTATGTGAGTCCTATATTCAAGAACGGCGATCGTCACTTGATGAATAATTATAGACCTGTGAGCCTGACCAGCATAGTGTGCAAAGTACTTGAGAGCATTATAAGAGATGCCATGATGGAACATTTACAAAAAACCATGTAAAGGACTGCCAACACGGCTTCATGCCAAGACGCTCCTGCTTAACACAATTACTCAAGGTCCTGGATGTTTGGACTCAAATTTTAGAACAAGTTAGAAGTATCGACAATATATACCTAGATTTTACCAAGGCTTTCAGTAGCATACCCCATAAAAGGCTGAGAATTAAATTGGAAGAGTCCAGGATTCAGTGTAAAGTCCTAGCATGGATCAGAGACTTTCTGCATGACCGTAATCAGTGTGTGGTGATTAATGGTACGAAATCGTCATGTGTACCTGTGACAAGCGGGGTACCACAGGGCAGTGTATTGGGCCCTTTGTTGTTTGTCTGCTTTATAAATGATATGCCAGAAGCTATACACTCCTCTATACAAATGTTTGTGGAAGATGCCAAGTTATTTACGGAAATTAAGAACCAAACAGATGGGTGCTTCCCCGTTTGGAGTACTGTCACCCTGTCTGGTCCCGAGATATGCCTGAGACTCTCATTTGATTGAAATGTCCAAAGGAGGGCCACCAGAGTGGTGCCTACTCTATGGAACCTCAGCTACCCAGAGAGATTAGAACGCCTGCAACTGCCTAGCTTATACTACAAATGGGCAATGGGCGTCCTAATTGAAGTGTATGAACATCTCGGAGGGTACTACTCGGTTAAATGTACATATCTGGAGCTGGCAGATGCCCACCCCACAAGGGGTCACAGCTCAAGGTTGAAGAAGCCACAAGTCCAGAAAACTGTGAGTGCAAACTTTTTCGGAGTGAGAATTGTGAACTCGTGGAACAATCTGCCAGAGAGTGCTGTGATGGTACCGAGTGTGCGCTTATTCGAGGCCAATTTTGACCAACGCTGGAGCAGGTTCTGATATATTCAGGAGCAGGTTCATGCCCATTACTTGCCAACAGTGTGTAACAGAGACGCGTCTGACCGCCCAAGCGGCTAAGGAGCCGATCAGTGATGAAGAGGATAAAAGTAAAGTTAAAAGAGATACTCGAGTCGCCCATAAACACAACGTATTGTAATGTTACTTTCTTTTAATAGCTATGGTTCATCTACATTGATGCCAAATATTAATAAAACAATGAAGTCAAGCAATATACTGTACTGTACTTTACATTAAGTATAAAATAAAAACAAATTAAGTGGAAAGGGAATTCTGTGGGATGGAGTAGGGTGGGTGGCTGGCTGGACTCAACAGAAGTTCCACAATCCCTTTTAATAACAGTATGCAATATCATCATAATTCCCACACTATTTAGGTTCATTTGGTGCCACATTAATAAAACATTATCGTAAAATAATAAATATTCCTGAAAAAAATTACACACTCTGCCTAAGATGTTATTGAATTTGTTTACATAGACTAACAGCTGATCAGTCTGCAAACCTCGACACCTGCAAGTCTCCATATTTTTTGTTTTTCTATCATTTCACTATTCTGGTGTCACCCAGAGGAGGATTAGGAGAATGGAAGGAACTCTTTATGCAATATATTAGAACTACTTTTTTTATTTATTTTTTTATGGGAATGAACCAAGAATAGTCAAAACTCCAAAATATAAAACTGGTAATAGCAAGAGTCAACAGTATTTATCACCTGTTCTACCGCCCCATTGTACTGTATACATCTGTTAGTTTGTTTCTTAACTCATCTGCTCAGAGGGGTTAATAGGGTCACCAAACACGCTGTCGAAGTAGTGTGTGTGTGTGTGAGGGAGGGTGTGTGTGTGTGTGAGGGAGGGTGTGTGTGTGTGTGTGAGGGAGGGTGTGTGTGTGTGTGAGGGAGGGTGTGTGTGTGTGTGAGGGAGGGTGTGTGTGAAAGTACACCATACACACCATGTTATCATTACTATGTACAGTATTTGAATATCAAAGACTGAAAGACTGACAATTGAGAGTTCAAAGTTTGGGTAAGACTTTTGTGATGTCCTTCCTTGCTACCCACAACATTCAGAAAAGGCAAGGTTGACAAGTAAAAAATACAGAGTGAATAATCTAGGGGTTGAAATATGTGGATGCAGCAAGTAAGGAGCACGCACACAAGAATCACTGTTTGTGACAGACAAATTTAAGTTATGAAAGGGATAAGAAGATTATCATGTAAACTAAGTAATTTACTAACATTTATATTAAGTATTGATTTAGTTAATTGGGTACATTAAATACACAAGTAAAACAAAATATGCATTTATCAAAACAAGAGTAACAGCTAAGCATTTGTCAAAACACACCAGAATATTACCCAATTATTCTTGCACTGTACATTAAATACCCGGTACACACATTATCTACAGTACAACAACACACAAAAAATGATAGAAAATGGCAGCTCTGGTAGCAAGTCTAGGTTGCGATGGCCAACCACAAGGAACTAGGGATTAACGCTGTATACCAGTACCATCAAACCATCTCAACACCATCAGCAGTAGTCCTTAATACAATTTGTCATCCACACCCCGGGAGAAGAGGCACACCAAAGGCCGCGGAGAAGAGACTCAGCCTTCCAGGTAGATACACTTGCCTCGATACCTCGGTCTCATAGTCAGATGGGGAAATTGGTCTTATAGTCGGATAGGATGCTGGTTCTGAAACGGTGCTCACTGGGGTCGAGTAGCTTCATGAGGCAGTCTTTTCTCCTGGTGTCCAGTTGAATAAGTGATGGTTATGGTGGTAGAATGAGGAGGGGACAGAGTTGTCACACTTGACATAGTGAGTATTTCAAATATGTCAGTACTGTACTGTGTAGTTAATATCATAAGTTTATATAATACACTGGGGTATGCTATAACGAACGGATCCTACTACGAATATTCCTATAACGAACGGTTTTACCTATAAAATTGAGAATGCTATAACGAACGCAACTCCTACAACGAACGCGGATGAATACGGGACTATTTCGCCTGGCGCATGAATATTGTTGTACCGCGACCCACAACAAGAGCGTCAGGCGCCATCTTTGTCTCATTGTGTAGCCAGTGCACCACTGTTATTGTTGAAATTTCGTCTTTTGATGTGGAAATTCGCGTTATTTGTATAACTATTTTGTTATACAAGTATACAATTGTAACAATGAGTCGTCCAAAGCGAGTGAGAAAGCTAATAACCCTTGAAACTAAGAAAGAAATTGTAAAGAAACGTGAGAATGGAAGAAGCATTGCGAAACTTAGTGATGAATATGGGATGGCTAAATCGACTATATGTACGATTTTGAAGAATAAAGAGGAGTTAAAAACTGTGCAAGTGGCTAAGGGAATCTTTAGACTTAGCAAAGCAAAGTGTAATGTGATTGAAGAGATGGAAAATTTACTCTTAGTGTGGATAAAGGAGAAAGAAATGGCAGGTGGTAACATTAGTGAAGCTATAATTTGTGAGAAGGCCAGACAATTGTTTGAGGACCTTAAAGCCAAGACTCCCAGTGGAAGTGATAGTGATGTGCCAGTGTTTAGGGGTACCTGCATGCTGAATAACACTAAGGTAAGATAAAGTACCGTATTTTTTACATTTTCCACAGAATTTTTTCAGTGTTAAGTGGTTGTATTTGGGGGCCTGGAACGGATTAATCCTATAACGAACGAATGCTATAACGAACGAGGTTCTGGAACCAATTACGTTCGTTATAGCATACCTGTAAGTGATAAAGTTAGTGTCTGTGAAGTCCTTGTTTGGTCTTCCTTAATGGCTGCTGAGAAAGTTTTGGTTTTCTTGTTATTGGTCCTAATTACCCTTTTCCTCTTTAGGTCATTTGGGGTGATATCTTAATCCAGTATAAGACATGGTCTTGTGGCAAGAAAGGTGATGAAGGAGAAGTTGTACCCTGCTATGGTGCCTGTATGGCTACCACACTGCTCAAGAATGATGTCCTGGCACCTCTCACTGGTGCCAAATCTCCAGGAGAACTAAGGTTAGCATGGTTGTTATTCACTTACAGTATTTAGGTTATAAAGTAATATCTCCATTAGCCAGAATCCCTCTTAACAGGTACTGTCCGATAACCGGATTTGAAATCTTCTCGGAAAATCGTTCCCAAAGCCGTAATTTTCCGGATTTCGGTTTTGGGAACGATTTTCTGAGGGGAACATTTTCTGGAAAATTCAGAGAAAATTTTCCCTGTACCCAGAATATTCTGGGGATGGGGGAGTATTTTTTTCCGGGCTTGAGAGGTGAAAATTGGGTGTATTTTCCATAAATTCTGAGAAAAGTTTTCCGGGGGATATTTCTGGAGCTTCCAAGATCATTTTTCCGTTACTTGGAAAATTCCGGGGATGAGGGATTTTTTTGACTTTGAGAGAGTCGTCACGTTACCCAGAAATGTCTCATTCCCAGAAGTTCTCTGCACCAATTGTTCCGGCTAATGGAGATATCACTACAGTATGTAGGTAATATTCTGATAGCTGGAACAGTTGGTGCAGAACACTTCTATCTTTGAGAGATTTCCAAGTACAGTATTGAAATGAATCCTTATCCCTGGAAAAAATCGCACAAACTGTACAATATATGGAATTTTTGTGGGCATTGGTGAATGTTTCCGAGTCTAAACTACACATCTGGCGCAGAGCACTGTTGCTAGGGAGGCTAGACTTTACCAACACTGGCACATGTTTGTGTCTGCATTTGTATTCGTATCTTCTTCGCTGCTGATGGTCCTGCCAGTCACTTAGGTGGGACGTAATCTCTCCATTAAATTACTCACTCTTGGCAAGTGCTGAGCAGGCATAGGTTCTGTATTATATTAGAACATGGTGGGAGAGGTCCCTAAGAGTATTTTTTCATACTGACGAAGTATTTAACACCAAAGTGTGGTTACGGATGTAAGCTGTAGTATTTATGAAAGACTTCCGGACTTTAAAAATACAAAAATTATGGAATATTAATATGAAATTGCCCAAGAATACTACCAATCTCTCTATATAGGCAAATACTTTTATCTGAACAACTTGAAATTTGATGAATTTTATGCAGCTGATAACATAGTATTACAAATTAGTAAGATATAACCTTATATGGAATCAACAGATCAGAAGAGTTTAACAAGTTTTTTCTCATAGAACTCCAGTGGCAGAGACTCTCCTCATCAGTCCTGTGACAGGCGTGGAGATCACCATCAACATGGGCAGTGACAGGATCATCTACGAGCTCCACGTGGAAAATGACACAAAGCCAGAGGGTTACCGCTTCAAGGTTAGATGATTTGTAATGCACTCACATAAACTTATGTAGATTTCCATGAAGTGACTCAAATTGTTGGTAACTGGCCACGACCCCCCCCCCCCACCCCCCTTTAAACACCAACTATGGTACTATTTTGTCATAGTCATTCCATAAATTATTTCACAGCTTTCACCATCAAAAACTAATTTTTAATAACTTGATAACAAGATCATTTGATACTTGTGTATTGGTATGTATGATATAGATATTTATGATATGATGTAGATATATGTGATACAGAAAATTTATAGAAGACTCTTATTGTAAAATCAATATTTTGAGTCTTATATTCAAGCAGGGAAATCACCACTCCACAAATAATTAATTATAGGCCAGTGAACTTGACCAGCATAATGTGTAAAGTACTAAAGAGCATTATAAGAAATGCCATGATGGAACATTTACTGTACTATGAAACGTCCTTGTAAAGGACTGCCAACATGGTTTAATACTAGGACACTCAAGGCCCTGATGTTTGGACTCAGATCCTGGAACATGGCAATATCAATAATATATATCTGAACTTTGCTAAGGCTTTTGACAGCGTACCCCATAAAAGGCCCTGAAGGGTGTGGAATTCAGGGGAGCGTCCTAGCATGGGTCGAAGACTTTCTTCATGACCACAAGCAATGTGTTGTGATTAATGGCTTGAAATCGTGATGTGTACCCGTGACAGTGGGATACAACAGGGCAGTGTACTGTCCCTGTTGTTGTTTGTTTGCCAGAAGCTATACACTCCTCCATACAAATTTGCAACAATACCAAGTTATTCAGGGAAATTAAGAACAAAACGGACTGTGAAAAGCTACAGAAAGATCTCTATCAGCTTCAGGAGTGGTCGAAGGAATGGCTGTTGAGATTCAATGAATGAAGTGAAAGAGGATGTACCTAGATCATACTAACAGTAAGGAGGCATATGACATGCCCCAGCAGGATGGGGATAGCGGCATTAATAGAGACCAAATGTGAAAAGGACCTGGGTGTGTATGTTGAAAACGAACTCAAGTTCTCGGACCATTGTGAGAAGAAGGTGAATTGAGCAACTAAACTAGTAGGTCTTCCCCATTCGGGGTATTGCCATGCCGCCTGGTTGCCAAGATATGCTAGTGACTGTCAGTTGATTGAAAATGTCCAAAGGAGGGCCACCAGACTGGTGCCTGCACTATGGCACCTTAGTTACCCAGACAGATTAAAATGCCTGCAGTTGCTGAGCTGATACTATAGGTGGGTAAGGGGTGACTTAATTACATCTGAAGTCATTACTCAATTGAGTGTTCATACCTGGAGCTGGTGGATGCCTGCCCCACTAGGAGTAACAGCTTAAGGTTGAAGAAGCCACAAGTTCAGAAAATTGTTATGGCAAACTTTTTTGGAGTGAGAGGTGTGAACTCTTGGAATAATCTGCCAGAGTGTATTGTGATGGCACCAAGTGTGAGCTCATTCAAGACAGACTTGACCAACACTGGTGCAGGTACAAATACATTTTAGAGCCAGTTCATGTTCAGTACTTACCATCATTAAGTAACAGAGAAGTGACCGACTGCCCAAACGGCTAACAAACCGATCAGTGGTGAATAGGATAAAAATAAAAGGTAAGTATTTAATGTTATGTGCAGTATGGCTTTACAGAGGTGATGACACTCTCTGTTTAATATAAATTTTTTACCTGCATGTGTAAAGGATTATCATTCCTATCCTACAGTGCTATGGCTGGGACAACAACGAGTGGAATAAAACTTACTGCAACACTGGAAAACTTTTTATTAGAGGTGGTGTGAATAGACTTCGTTGCTTGTGCAACAGTCCAGTTTATGTAGCGTAAGTGTCCAAATTTTAACTGCTTACATCATATGATTTCTACTTTGAGTAATGATTATACAAAACAAGTGCAGAGAGATCAAGTAAAATTACTGATTCAATTGTCTGTGAGAAAGTAGAAACAGTAAGATTAAAAATATAGGAAAAAGTGTTTTGTTGGTAAAGACTTTGAGAATAGTTAAGCTCCAATACTTATTGACATGAAAATAAATTAACTTTGAGGTTATGAACTTCTAAAACTCAGCAGAAGCAAAAGTATAATAGTCATGAATAGTTAATGATACTTGTATAATGGTGATGGCAGATAATGTATCCCAATTGTTTTACTGTATTTTTTAAGCTTTGAAGAATTCACTAAATAGGAACTTTAGAGGAAGTGGCCAATACTATACTGATAACTGTATTAAAAACTATACTGTGTTTCTGTCTACATGTAAATTAATATAAAAGTGCTACATCAACTCATACACACATACTTGATCAGTAAATCAATTTGCTTTTCCAATAAATCCAAAAAGAACATTAATTAATTTCTTCATAGGAAATACTACCTACTCATCCTCAAAACTTTGTGTTTTATTTTATGTATTGAGATACTAGTGTTCATGACTCCTCCTCCTGTTCCTCACAGAGGGTTCTTGATTAAAATCCCAAGCTCCTCGTCATCTTCGGAGACCAGCACCCTTGACCCCAGTGAAGAAACTTTCGCAGAAACCACTGAGATGCCCTGGTTCTTACAGGAAGGAATGAAACATGCCAGGATTATGTAAGTTACAGCAAATGTTCAATGTGGTACATTATACTTTATTTCCTTACAAATACAACTTTTCTTCTGCTGGAGCAATATCTCTTATTTAGGATCTGATTAGATGTCTAATACAGTACTACTGGTATGAATGTCCATCGGTTCTTACTAAACACATTTACTTACTCACTCTCCTTGTCCTACAAACTTGGCTACTAGCATAGAGTACAGGTACAGTATAAGTTATCAAAGATGGAGATAGGGCCTTTCTCTCTCTCTCAATATATATATATATATATATATATATATATATATATATATATATATATATATATATATATATATATATATATATATATATATATATATATATATATATATATATATATATATATATATATATATATATACTGTAGTATGTTTGATGAATTTACCCCATATTTTTCAGTTTTCTACAGCAGAACTATTTTGTCAATACCTGTATCTTAAGTTTTCTGAAATTATGCTCAGACAAAGTTCTACAGATCTCTAAGGCAGGAGTTTTTAATATTTCTATTTTAGCTCAAAGAGTTTATACTAATATTAAATGGATATTAATTCTTACATTATTAATGGTACACTTAAAAATTTCTTCTGTTTCATTGCTTACCAGTATCAAAGAAGACTACAAAACAGTGGTTGGAGATGACCCCGAGAAATTTATACTCTATGTTAAACCACAAATATCAGAATTACTTGAAATACCGGCATACAGACTTGTCAACATGAAAGTCTCTGAAGGTAAGTCATGTTTCCTTATTCAGTGGGTTTCCTGAGATCATTAATGGTGATAATGGTAATATTTATTCAGGTTTACAATTGGGATAAGCATGCTTATAAACTATGCAGTTATACATTTCACCATGAATATAGACTATTTGTTGATAGTGTATGTATGCTGTGGGAGTATACAGCTTCCAGTGTGCTGAGACAGCAGGGGGCAGATCAGGGGGATCCTGGGGGTCCGGACCCCCCTTTTCATCAGAAAATTCCAATACTTTTTCTTTAATGCAGTATTGTACGCAGGCATTTTTGTATAGTAAAATATAGTTATTATTGTCCTCGAGTATCTCCTAATATCAAGTGCACATGGCTTCAAAATGGCCTCAAAATGCCCATGATGTTGGTCAGATTAAAAAAAAAATCGGGGTGAGGGGGGGGAGGTGGCTTACAGCCTCAAAACCCCCCAGCTGGGTGGACTCACTGTGCTCACCATATTTCCCCCCCCCCCCCACAACTTCTCAGACCCCCTCCTTTTGATATTCCTGGATCCGACCCTGGACAGTGAAGGTAAAGATCAATGGTAAACAGTAAGGTAACTTGACCAAAGATAGCAAACAAAGCTGCTCAGGTGCTTATTTCCAGGTGGGTCCTCTGTTTAGGTTTACACTTGGTCTCTAATCGGTAATAGTATGTCTACAGGAGTAAAAGTGAAAGGTTATTGATAGACTTCAAGAAGCATTACATTGTGCTGGAACTATTTGAGGCTGGCAGATCTCTACCACAGTACTACAGTACATTCTGTGGTTAATATAGAAACTCACTCTCATCTCTTGCTGTAGCTTCATCTATTAAGTATTTCTTTGTTTTATCTTTGAATTGTTTAATACCACAAGTTCCACAACTGATTTTGATGTTGTCTGGTAACTTATTCCAGTCTGTTATAGCAGTAGAGAAGAAAGTGTTTATTGCTTGACGGCAGACACCAGGTACCATAAAATTATGTTTACTCCCTCTAGTGCTCTGCTGGTTCATATCCCTCATCCTTGCAAAGTTCATTGTTAGATATTCTGAGCACAGTCCATTGAAAATCATGTAAGCATGATTCAGCCTCACACTTAACATGTTCAGTGACTGAAGAACTTTGCATTCAGTCAAGAATGAACTCCACTGCTTTGTATTGAATAATTTGTACAGTAGCTTGGATTTTAGCTTCTGGGTTAAGGCAGAGTACCGGTACCATGATGAACCGGAATAGTCCAAGCAACATTGTATGAGCACCACGCATCAGCTGGGAGACATTTAGCATTTCTTAAGTTAAACTTTATTTTGGCTTTACTTTTTTTAATTATATTAACTACAATTAATTCACTAGACAAACAAGAGTCAAGAATTAGCCCAAGATATTTCAGTGAGATTACAGTGGCGATGGGTTCATTCACATGTAGTACAATAAATTTGTTTACCCTTTGGAGTTTTCATTTTGATCCAAATAATATTGCTTCAGTCTTTCCAAGATGTAGGGACAATTTGTTGTCTTTGAGCCTGTGTTTGCAGGACTCCAGTTCTGATGATAATTCGTAAGCTATATCATTTGGATCTTTACCCAACACTAAAAGAGCACTGTCATCGACATACAGCAAAAGTTTACAATATCACTAATGGGCATGTCGTTTACATGACACAGGAAGAGCAAAGGTCCAATGATATTCCCTATTGGTATGGATGTTGACTTGGTGTTATTTACAACAACAACTTGTTTCCTGCTGCTAAAATATGATTTAAATCATTTAACAGACCCAGTGCCAATAGCCTGCGATACAGTGAACCCTCACTTTACGTGGTCAATTGAACCCACGGCGGCTCGCGTAAAGTGAACAACATAACATATGGGATTAATTGAAATAGAGACCGGGCCGACCCCCAAACTCCACTTTTTCAGACACAATACCTACGTTGTAGTAAAAATAACTTCTTAATTTTATGATGGTATGCACACACAATTAATAATTAAGAGAAATATCAATAATATTAGGTTTTTAACACTTACATTAGTAGAAAAGATGGCTGGGCACACGGGGATGGGGGGTTGGTTCCGAGGCAGAGGGCAGATTATTGGCCCTCACCTGTATCACTTGTATCAATTGTATCACTATCCACCACAGAGGCTTGCAGGGCCTCTTTGTCAAACCCCTCAAAGTCCATATAAGTCCATATCCTCACTATCATTATCACTATCACTGACTTGGGCCGGCTGTGGTGGGTGGCGGGTGAAGAACTCTGTAATGTTTTGATGACTGGGCGACCTTGTGCGCACCCTGCTCGCGCCGCTCTCCGCGTAAAAGGGTACACACACCGCGGAAAGTGAGCATTCCGTGTTCGGCAAGGTACCGCGTAAACGTGGAAACACGCAAAGTGGGACCGCGTAAAGTGAGGGTTGACTGTATATAAAACAACAAACAAAGCATTTGGACTTTCATTGGTACAGTACAGTGGTCAGTACAACTAAAATGGTTATGAAAGGGGATTGAAACAAATGTATTGCTTCTCTCATGTAAAAAAAAAAATCTGTATTCCGGTAATTGAAATACAGTAAAGTATATGGATTGGGAACTACTGTAATGAATTTATAATATTTATGAAAAATGTGTTGATTCATTAATGATTAGATTGCAAAAAGGGTTAACTGATTAATTGACATCATCCCCAAGAATACTACAGACTGCAGCCCCAAATTTTTTACTCCTAATTGCCTCTAATAATGATAGAATGTGAAATAAGAGAACAGAAACTTAAACAGTGAAAAAGTATACAAAAGGAATAGTGTTATGTACATAAAAAACAAAGGAAATATTAATTAAGATGTGAAAATTAATGTGTTAAGGTGAGGAACAAGCTGTGGATGATACTTGGGACCTAATGCTCAGTGTTTAACATCATTTCTAATAGTTTAAAATTTTTAGTGCATTTTTTTTTAATAATCTCAAAAAGCTTTGTTTGAAGTGAATCTCGATTTTGGATACTAGGTCTGATTTTGTTTTATTTTACTTTATTTTGTGAAATTGACCAAGTTAATAAAACAAAATGGGAATACTGTACAGTACAGTAATTTAGTGTGCCGCTTTATATGAAAATCTTTATATTAAAATACATTATACTGGGGTCTGCTGTGTAAGTGATACTGACCCTGAATTTTCCCACTAGGGAGCATCTTGGTGGATTTTGACATTGTATCTGATCCAACACGGTCCTCTAGCCTGACCTCTGACGTTGTGGTCGAGAACCTATATTCTTTGATCAACTCGGGAAAGTTAAAAATCGTCGGACCAACCAATGAAGAGCTTACCATTCCCCCACAGAATATCAACGGCCTGGTGGTTGAAGGTACAGTACTTCTTGGTCATGATAACATAATTCTAGTTGCTTTGTATGATTAATGATAACCCAAATATGTTATAATGCTTTGATGATGGCAGATACAAATTAAATAAATGTTATTAACCTTTTGTCTTAATAATTATCAGAGCTGAAATGAATGTTTGCACATTTTCAAGTGAATACTGTATTAAGTTGTGCATATTGGAGTGTAAATTTGGTATTAGAATGACACTGCCAGATGCCCTCTTTAGTGTAAATTACTAGTTTGTAAGTAAACTGATGAACAAATATGGTAGGGGATAATAATACAGTATCTTCAAAAGTTAAAGTATGTATTGATGTGACAGTTGTTGGTAAAATTATTAAAGCTCAGGATTTTTTAGTGCAAATAAATTACTAACACAAGCGCTCTGCCTTTTGTATGTACACAAATACTGTACTACTGTATTAAAATGAAATATACAACAAAGGTAAGAATTGCATAACCTGACGTTCATTTATTTAAGGTCTATAATATGTATTAGAAAATAAGGGAAAATAGGATTATTTATAGTAGACAGAACTTAAATGTATTTTATTACAATTCAGTCCAAACAGTTCAGTACTATAATTTGAATAAGATAATTAAAGTTTCATAACATTTGATTATATATTTTCACAGATCACACCCCACGCCTCCCTCCTTCACTATACAATATTTTTGCATAATTCTTTCATGTAAATTAACATATTATAAATCATGCCCTCACATGTACAGAAAAAAATGATCCAACAAAGCTGCCCATCATCATTGGCGCAGTTGTGGGCGGTATAGTGCTGATTGTCCTTGTCTTCATATGTGTGGCTATCTGCCTCAAGAACAAGAAAAGGATGGACAAGGTCCAACCCCTTCAGGTAAGTTTATCCACAACAGATAACTTAACATATGTGAACCATTCCCTAGGCAAAGCAAATAGGGAATGGTTGTTTGGTTCTGGGTCACCAGATGGAGAATAACATGCAGTACTTCAAGATGGTCAAATATGCATAAAAACATAACATCGCACACCCAGCCCTCTTTGAATCATTATGTATATACTGTACTGTAGTAGTTTGCTTAAAATGAATGGTCTCATATCATAAATTTCAGTTTTCAAGAAATCATCCAAACAAAATTTCCAGATTTAAGTTCACTCTGTTGAGGTCAAAAGTCAAATGTTTGTAAACATGATAATCCCTGACTACACCATAAGATAATTTATTATATATGTATTCCCAAAATGAACATCAATTTTACATAGTTTTCTGAAAAAATCTGAAAAATATTTTCAAAATCAAGGTAAATGTGCCAAAGTGACAGACCAACAATATATAAGCTCGAAATGAATACCTTCCCGCATACAGTGGTGGAAAAATTGCTGAGACAAGACTTTCAGTGTCAAGGTTAAAGGTCAAATGTGCATAGACCCATAAGGCACACCCCCATCAGAAGATCTCTATGTACTGTACTGCATACTCAAAATCAACAATCTACATTGCAGAATTTCAGAGAAATTGTCCTTACAAATTTTAGTCAAGTCTACTATGTTATGTTCAAATATCACTCAAGCTACAAAACATGATATTTATTTTCATAACCTTACTGCAAATATATTGGGAAAAATGGTCCACATAAATTCCAGCTGGCTACCTCCTACACGGCATGACAATACTCCTACCAGTCCTGGGTTTGAGGTCTAAAAACATAGACAGAGTATCAATATTTTTTGTCTATTTAGAACAAAGATAGGAGTAATAGGCCTATAAGCTTTCAACAGGAAAGTGAGCATAATATGTAATCAGAGTATTAGGCAGTAGAGAGCTACAACCTTGGGAATGCTGCTTGTCATTGAGAATCAAGTAGACTGTGTGTGTAGTACATTTTTAGACACGCTGGTAAATGTTTCCTACTAATCTGATTTGTTGCTGTTGTTGGAACTTAGTCGCCTGCACTTTGTTTTGGGCTGATATGGAAGCCAGTCATTTCTCGGGCGACCAAGAGTTACCAGATAAACATTTATGCCTAATGACACAGTTCAAGAGATGTTACTTTACTTTACTTTATCCTCTTTGCCACTGATGGCTTGTTAGCTGCTTGGGCAGTCAGTCACATCTCTGTTACACACTGTAAGTTACCCATTGTCTACAGTTGCCCAGTTTATACTGGGCAATTGCAGACATTCTAATCTCTAGGTACCTGAGGTGCCAAAGTGCAGGCACCAGTCTGGTGACCCTCTTTTGGGCCTTTTCAGTGGCAACTCCTCGCTTACTGTATTTATTTTTATGGGCTACTTGATTGTGTTAAGCTTCCAATAATCTGCTCCTTTTCTTCTATGTAAGGTTGCTGCAAGTCCACTTCCTCGCTCCTTTTTTTTTGTTAGTGCAGCACCAAAATATAAAGTTATTTACATCCCCAACTTCTGCCATACATAGTTTACATTCAGCACTTTTGTTTGTCTGTCTTTTTGTATAATTTAGTGGCAGGCAGTTGTAAAGCCAAAAGTGTGTGAGAAAACTTTTATAGGATGGTTGACTATACTATACCTCACTCTGGTCTTACAGAGGAAGAATAATATAGAAAAGTCAACTCTTTAACATAAAATCATAGTTGAAAGGCAACTTGTAAATATATGGACGTTAATGTGATAAAAACTCATTTCTATGCCAAAACTTCTTTTTCACTCTCATTTTGTTCTCTTGACAGATGACCAATTCCAAGCAGCCAACATACAGCTCCATCCACTTTGAACAGTCACTAGATGGGACCATGGCCAAATATCGTGGTGCTGCAAACACCAGCAAGTAAGTGGACCCAACAACACCTGAGCTTAACAGCTGTGGTCAATACATATCAATTAGTGAGAGTAAATGCTTATATCTTATACTGCATTACCGTATGATAATAATTATCTCGGCTAACAACTGCTAAAATATTAAAGGTAATTTTATTTACCTGTGAATAAAGGAGATAAAAAGATATGTTCCTGCCATTACAGTGGTCCTTCGGTTAACGAGCACAATTCGTTCCAGAAGGTTGCTCGTTAACTGAAAAATTCATTAACCGAAACCATTGTTTCAATGGGTTTTTGGGTAATTGGTTCCAGGTCACCGAAAATTACATACAAACTAAAAATAAATGCAGTAATGTACACTTGCTTTGAGGTGTGCATGTAGAGGGCTCCTGGTTGATGATGATGATGGGAATTAGACTGGGGGTTTAGGAGAAGGGAGAAGAGAAGGCATTGGGGTGGAAGAGAAGTCACCCCATGCTGCCATTTCACCCATAAAATTTTAGTTCACTTGGTGTAATTCAATATTATTTTCTTTAAATCAACACTGCACTGCACTATATATTATCAATATTTAAAATATATTTCAAAATTACCAATAATTTGACTGGAAACAGAAAAAAGGAGCCGGTGCATGCCCAGTTCTTGCCAACAGTGCGTAACAGAGACATGACCGATCGCCCAAGTGGCTAACGAGCCGATCATTTGGTGAAGAGGATAAAAGTAAAAGTAAATAAACACTGATAACAATGCTACGTATACTGATGTAATTACAGTGTGTGTATTAGCAGCAGTATAAGGTGGTAAAATGCTTTATATAAATATGTGCATAAAAGATTAGTACATACATGTATACACTTATGGTGTACATGTAGACTAATGGTCCTCATATCTTACTTGTTAAATATTGAAGAAAATAAAAAGAAGAAAAGGCATAAAGACAGTGGGATGAGTAACACCCCAGCTGATCTGTAGGCAAGTGGTTTCCTTTGAGGGAGTGCAGTATATGCAATTTTTTTTAGCCAGTTTAAAATGGTTGAAAGTCATAGCAAAGCAATTAAAAAATTAATACGACTAAAGTCGAATATGGAAGCTAAAGGATTAAACTTGTTTTTTTACTTTAATCTCCCCCAGAAGTGAAGAGATGTAACTAAATAGTGATCACAAAATTTGTTCTTATAACTTCAGAATAGTACAGTATTAGGATAAAAGAGCACATTATATTCCTTCCTCAAAAACAATGTCTTTCAATTTTATCAGTGTTCTTGTTAACCAGTTCCCTTTCTTAAATTTCGATCAGTATCATTCTATATAGCCCCCCCCCCCCTCACTAAAACCATACAGTGCTTCCCTAACCTCTTCCATATCACAGCCGCAGTTTGTCATCTGGTGGAACGTACTCAGATGAAGGGATCTTCATTGAGCGACGTTCAACAGCCAACAGTTCCCGAGTGGGTTCGGGTGGGAGTTCAACTGGTGGAGTAAGCTTTGACTCTGGGACAGGCCAGGAAGTGCCGGAGGCCTTCAAGTACCGGAGCCCCACTAAGGAAGAGCTGGAACGCTCGGGGCCCATACCAGAACACATAGTAAGTTATTAGTGAACAACAGTGAAAATATTCAGGCTGATTTTCTTCTTTGATTTCAGTCGTCAAAAATGAAACTAAGGATTGGGTCCTGAACAGTGATTTCTTGGGGCACAGGAACAAATAATTTTGATGGATTTGTCTCTCCCTTGAAGGGAGAAAATATGGAGCTTATACTGTATCTACAGGTGAATTAAATATCAATTTCAAAATTCATTAGGAAAATAAATAATATCATAGATGAATATACATGTAAAAATCCTAAATATGTATGTATAGTATAGGTATGTATTTCAGACACTTCAATGCAATCTTATAAAATTGCTCTGATATACTGTATATATACAGTATATATATAGATGGATAGATAGATACATACAGCTCCTCCCCGACTTACGACGTACGACCGCCCACACTTACGACCTGCCTCAGAAGTACCAAAATTTGGTAAAATTACGTATTTTCAAGTCCCAAAGTCAGTACACAGACAAAAATTTTTTTGTAATTCACTTTAAAATGGCTGGCAAGGAGTTTTGTGGTGCTGAGAAGAAAAAGAGACACCCATTTTCGATTTTCTATGTATTCTTTAAGCATTTTCGACCATTTCGACTTACGACATGGCAGCAAATCCTTTAGTACCACAATGTTAAGTCACTCCCATGCAAAGACAAGGAAGGATTGAGAAATCAGACATCTGAAATATATCCGCATATTTTTTATTTATTTCATATGCAGGTATATATCACTTGACGTCACATTCTGGACTTTATCACAAAAACTGTTATAAAAGAGTCTTTTTTTTATCAGATACAGGGTACTCATACAGTAATAGGCAAATCCATGTTCATTATTTGATTCCATGTCCCCAAAGCAGCTGTTTTGGGGAACAATTATACCTGGTTTCTTTTATATTAACATTCATTTTCTTCAGCCCAAATTCCCTTGTGGTGACTACTTTATTTCCCACAAACATTGCAGGATCATGATATGCGTGGCATAAGACTGGGCCATGCTCTTCCAGGGAAACCAGATTATTTATTACGAGAATTGCCAAAATGGCCTGACTGGAGTAAAAATGTAAACAAGTATTGATGTCTGTGGAGGTTAGTTGATAAATTCTGTACAGTGATAAGGTAGATTGCTTACAAGTTCCAAAGCTGGTAGCTGTAGCATCACAAACTTTAAGACATATTGTAATCTAACATCCCTTGTCTGAGGTGTATAGTGAAAGCCTCAGTCCTCTGCTATTAAGACTGTAACTGCCTGGCTGATGTAGCTCTGTGTTATGTAGATGCCTTTCATGAGCTTGCTTAATTAAGCAAGCTATTGTACCTACTTTAATGCTTTTCTCTGCTGCTTTTATTTCAATTTCAAGGAATTAAGCGTGTTTTTTTCTGATTCTGTGGCAGTAAGTATGCCTTAGTAGATAAGTTTAGCTTTACATACTTTGGCTACCAGTGAAATGTAATTTGTGGTGAAATTATATAAGCATTGTCCTATTGACTGGCAAAGCTTGTCTTCCATAACTTTTTAAGAGTATTCTACAGTATATGTGACATTTATTGTTGCATCATGCCTTTGCCAAGATCTTGGAACCTAAACACAGATAGTGAAAAACTTTAATGAGTACAGTTATCCTTCGGCTGCATGGTGTTTTTGACAGCAAAATGGGGAAAAAGCTCCTTCACTGAAAAAATATTTTTCTATAATAATCAAGAGATGAGGAAGGCCATGATCCAGTATCTTCAATGAAGGTCCTGTACTGACACACAACATCAATGTTACAGTTGCAGAAGATTGAAACAAGTGTAGAAGGTCTCCTACCAGGGTCACCAGAAGACCCAGTCAAGGTTCAACATAAATGGTGATCAGGTTACCATAGAGTGTGATCCAACACAAGGTGCTGGGAGAAGGATACTACAATCTCCTCCATTATCTCATTATTCACTCCTGCCTCACTTTTGCAACCTGAAACTGTCTGCAGTGCTTTAAAATTAAAACAAAAATTATCATCCTCAGTAATTAGCTGTTAACCCATTAACATTTAGCTGCAGATAGCTTGGTCTTAGACACTGGCTGAAGAGCTGTCACAACTTGGTCAGCTGTTCTCAAATATATGGCACAAATATACCTCTGTCAAAGCTGTAGATTGAGATATTTGATAATAACATTAATTGGCATGACTGTTCTTATAATTTTTAATGATTATAAACTGGTTTCCAATACAGTACTGTACTGTATAAACCTCACCAATTAATATGATGTTGATATAGATAGCAATGACAGTGGGAGAATTTGCTGTATCACTCTAAGATTGTCTCACTCTGTCACCATTGTCCTTGGTCAGGTTGCTTTCTTTATCCTTAGATCCATGTTTTAGCCACAGAACCTTAGGTGCATTTTGCTTTATGTAGCTTGTGTAGCTTGTTACTTAGTCAAACGTGGTACACCATAGCTTGTACCCTTTTTCCCCTGGTAGAAATAAGCATGATGTTAGTTTATTCATTGTCCTAACTTCCAGTGGCAGTACCAGGTGGCTTGACAGTAAGAATTAAGCTGTTGACTGTAGTTTTCTATGAGTCAATGTTCTTCAGAATCAATAACTTTCAAGTGGTTGTTCTGAGTGAGTTAATGACATGATTATTAATATATATGTGTGTGTGATCCTAAAGCATATTGTGATGAATCGTCCCACCCTACCCTGTAATATTATGGCCCCTGTCTCACCCTACCCTGTAATATTATGACCCTGTCCCACCCTACCCTGTAATATTATGGCCCCTGTCCCACCCTACCTTGTAATATTATGACCTTGTCCCACCTCTTAATATTCATGTAATATTATGACCCCTGTCCCACCCTACCCTGCTCTTCCTGTAATATTATGGCCCCTGTCCCACCCTACCCTGTAATATTATGGCCCCTGTCTCAATTCTTCCCTGTAATATTATGACCCCTGTCCCACCCTTCCCTGTAATATTATGGCCCCTGTCCCACCCTACCCTGTAATATTATGACCCTGTCCCACCTACCCTGTAATATTATGACCCCTGTGGCTTCACCCTACCCTGTAATATTATGGCCCCTGTCTCACCCTACCCTGTAATATTATGGCCCCTGTCTCACTCTACCCTGTAATATTATGGCCCTTGTCTCCTACCCTGTAATATTATGGCCCCTGTCCCACCCTACCACCCTGTAATATTATGGCCCCTGTCTCACCCTACCCTGTAATATTATGACCCTGTCCCACCCTACCCTGTAATGACCACTTGTCCCACCCTACCCTGTAATATTATGACCCTGTCTCACCCTACCCCCCTGTCTCACCCTACCCTGTAACCCCAATATTATGGCCCTGTCTCAATCCTACCCTGTAATATTATGGCCCTGTCTCACCCTACCCTGTAATATTATGGCCCCTGTCTCACCTACCCCTGTAATATTATGGCCCCTGTCTCACCCTACCCTGTAATATTATGACCCTGTCACCCTACCCTGTAATATTATGACCCCTGTCACCCCTACCCTGTAATATTATGACCACTTGTCTCACCCTTCCCTGTAATATTATGGCCCCTGTCCCCTACCCTGTAATATTATGGCCCCTGTCTCACCCTACCCTGTAATATTATGACCCTGTCCCACCCTACCCTGTAATATTATGGCCCCTGTCCCACCCTACCTTGTAATATTTTCCTGGTGCTGTTACCACATAGTATTTTGTCTTCCAGTACTGTATTTTCTTTTTATTTTATGGCTGAACTAATTTATAAACAATAGCAATAAGGAACAAAATAAAACTCTAATTGAATGCTTAAAATAAAAATTAGTTTAGAATTATCTTATAATATAATGTTATTTAATATGATGTGCTTGACTGCGAATGGTGCAAGTTCTTCTTATGTTATCATTGCCTGATCTAATTTACTTTTCTTGGACTAAGATGCATGATACTATACCTATGATAAGCAGGTTATAACGACCAAATTGAGAGTTACAAAGAATTTTAAATATCAGTTGAATAAAATGGTTTGGTTTAGGTTTAACGGGATTTTTTTTATAGCTCATGCTAGTTCCTCCCAGTCAGCTGTGACTGTGTAGCATGAGAAATGACCATCAAAATCAGGAGAAGTCCCATGAAATACTGTACTGTACAGTGTTGAGTAATATGCAGTAATACTGTACTGTACTTCTGTTGTTTTTTTATCATTCTGTAGTTTTCATTCAGGAAAGCTAGTGGGTTATACCTTCAACAAATTTCTTCTTTAACCTACCCCTTTCATCCTTTCCTTATCTGTTTCTTATTTCTCATCATTCTTTCCATATTTGTCCATGTTAATAACACAGCAGTGCTCTTACAGGCCATATATGAAATCCTGTAGTATGTATATACCGGGTATATATATATATATATATATATATATATATATATATATATATATATATATATATATATATATATATATATATATATATATATATATATATATATATATATATATATATATATATATATATATATATATATATATATATATATATATATATATATATATATATATACACACACAAAGATGTTGCGTTTCTTAAATCCCATTCATTACCGGTAAGTGAAAAAAAAACGTGTATCTAATGGTATAGCCTGTATATGTTCTAGGGAGGGGAAATGTAGGTCAATGGGGAGTGGGGAGGGTGTTCACACAAAGCTCACCATACTGTGAAAATAATGGTTAAGTATGAATACAATGTAAACAGTGAATATTGTGTAGGTACAGTAGAGGATAAATGTGTGACCGACCACCTTGACAGAAGGTGGGTGAATGCTCAGAGTACACTTTGAGAGGAACTTCCTCTTGGGGCATTGATGAAGCAGTCATGTCAGTTATGTGAAAGTAAGTCGAGGCTTGATACTTTACTTTCCTTACCCATGCAAAATTAGCCAATTTTGATGTTTGTTCAGCAAAGGCCTATTTATCAATCCCTACTCAACTAGTTTTATTCCTAAACCTGACTAAACCACCACTGCATTACTCAGTAAAGTGACTGTACCCTTGTACTGTACAGTACCACTAAATGCTGTACTCTAATTTATATGCCTTTATCATAATGTTTTTGTTTTAGCAAGTGCCATGCTCCAGCCAATGCCTGTGTACAAGGATAGTTAAACATTGCACAGTATTTACTTCTAAAAGCAAAAAAATCACATCCACACAAATTCATATACATTATGAGTTTGCATGCATAATTATAATAAATATGTTTAACACTGATATACAGTACATTAAAATATAAATTTAAGAGTCAAATGCAGTGTAGAAATATCCATCCTCAGTTTATTCATTATTTGCAATCAAAGTGATTAAAGGCTTCATAGCACACCAGTCTTAACCTCTAACAGTTTATAAGTTTGGTAAAATTAAGTTAAATGTCATTTGTCTTTGAACACTTGGGAAATGTCCTGTACGTGCTGTACTGTAACTGTAAAAAAATTAAGTATGAGGGAGCTTGGTTAATGGAACATGAATACCTGTACAATACTGTACTTTAATGAAAGAGCCATGCAGAGTTTTAATGATGATTTACACACTTCAGATACAGAAAATAAAAGCGGAGTCACAAGTCTTACCTGGGACGCCAGAGGGTTTTGAATAAGAGCTTCATCCATCTGAAGTCTATCTGCTGATGATCTACAGTCTACATCCTGAAATTTAGAATCCAGAAGTTGGAAGCATCAAGCTGTATTATCTTCCTGAAAATTAAGATTTTCTTCTGAACTGTTCCTTCGTGAATACTGTACTGTGCTGTATACCTCTCGGTGCAAAACATTTTCAATGAGTGATAAGGCAAGTTAGATGCCATACACTGTACCATAAGCTGTCATGTTGTTAATGTTATGTTTTCTAACCAACACTTTTGATCACTAACCCAAATTCGGTACTATACTGTACCATAATAACCTACACATTATCAGCACCTCTAGTACTTTGAAGAGACTTTAGCCTGACTGAACCACCACCACTCACTTTTTTCAAGTCGTCAATATCAAACTTTCTACCAATATAACCTGTTGTGATCAACTTATCAAATTAAATGCTTTTTGCTTCACCTGTTATTTTTTGTACAACATATTCATTTTTCACTCCCTTGTTGAGTCTAGTTCTATATGTTTTGTAGCTAACGGAACTAGTGTTGCAATTATTTCTGCACACTTTACATTAATTTGCAAGTGCATACTGTAGCAAGTTAACAAGGTTTGTTTTTAATATACTGGTACATAAAAATCTACTTACAATATTAGTAAATTGCAGATCTATATATAATTATTCATTATTTGTAATGAATTAACAGGCACATAATGCTACCATTTTCTTGTTTCATAATTCTCAGCAATTTACACTAGTTCAGTTATTTAATAAAATCTATTGTTACTGGATGCTAAATTTCTGTTTCTAAATATTAGGATGCCTGAACAAAGTACATTAAATTTACAGAAACCTTCAGTATTAGCAGAACCAAAGCTCTCTAACATGTGAGATATATCATCAGATAAAACATTATTTAATAAAACTTAAAGTAACCTGTAAACTATAAAATTGCACGAATATATTATAATGGCGTACAATACCTAACTTGTGAAAGCATAATGAGTCAGTGTGACAAGGAGGCAGAAAATGCAACAGAATTACAAAACTGTATTACCACATATTAAAGTTTCCAGTAAACCTATCTTATACATTCACAATCAAGAGAAACATTAATGTAAAATTAGCTACAGTTTAAAAATATTTTGGGTAAGGCATGACTAAACAAGTTTCATCTGTTTAATTTCTGTGTGTATGTGTAATTTCCAAATATTTATTGTCACAAAAAAAGTAATTAATGTTCATAGGAATTACTCTACAAGTCTGTTCTTGTTAACTTCAGGAGAAAATTTTGAAGGTGTTAGCCTCACTCAAGAAAAAATGCATAATAGAGTTGTCATGTTGTGTGGGTCCTAAAAATGGTTACTGCTCTCCAGGTATTGTGAATGATGTTTTTGGAACCTTACACCCAGTGACTGATCATCCCTGTAGGACTCTTTTTGTCTCCTGTTTTCATTTACTCCAGCCATTCCATAAGTAACTTGGCTTTCATGTACAATCTAATGTAAAATGCTAGGTGATATTAGTGATAAATTAAATATATTCTTCTATAAAATGTTTACTCATTATATTTAGGTATACTGTAGTAGATGTGAAATATAGATTGCAAATACTTTTACATATAATATACAGTACACAGTATGTACATGGTATAATGCATAATTCAAAAAGATTTTAAAACATTACTGTTAGGGGCATGTTGGGGAGAGAAGGTTGGCTTGGGTGAGCAACTAATTACATGTTTGATGATGTTATGAATGTTGTCCTTTGACACACACATTGTACTGAATGTGGTTTTGTGACTTGTGTAAAATATAAATATTTTGTAATGTTGTATTGAGTGATACAGTAAAACAACACCTACACTCTTTGATCCATCCTAAACAATTTACAATAGAAGAAAAAGTTTATCTAACTAGCAGGCTGTTGATGTATTTTCACACAATTTTCTCTGATGTGAGGTGTAGGGGGTGGTGTTGTACACTCAAAGTATCTACAGCTTTTCTGGCAGACAAACAACAAGGATAGATTGATGTGTGCACATACAACACTGAACACACAGTTGACACTTAGGTTTGGACATAAGCCATCTTACCGAATCAAGGGAATTATACGAAAAGAAAACTGTTATTTCCCTCAAGTCGGTTCTCACCAATGCTCTGTGTCGAGTGCCAGCGACAGTGCCATATCACCTTTCAGGTAACAAAACTATCTGAAGGACGACCTAGGTGTCCTGTGTTTATCAGACAAAAGGAATAAATAGCAGGAGCCATGCTATAAGTAATTTGTCTGAAGAATGGGTGCATGAAAGATGCACAGATTTTGTAACGTAGGAGGAATATAACAGTCTGTCACCTAGTGACCCAATTCCCGACTTTTTGTGTACAGTAAGTTATGCATAAATTCTCAACAGACTAAATCATTATTACTGTACCATCAAACACAACAACAGACCACGACAGTGATGACTGAGTGTTTCAAAAGTACGGACTTGCATCTTGTGCATATTACTTTTTATTTACTTTTATCCTTTTCACCACTGATCGGCTAGTTAGCCGCTTGGGCGATCGGTCAGGTCTCTGTCACGCACTGTTGGCAATTACTGGGCATGCACTGGCTCCTGAATGTACCTGAACCAGCTCCAGTGTTGGTCAAGTCTGGTCTTGAAAGAGCTCACACTTGGTGCCGTCACAACACTTTCTGGCAGATTGCTCAAAGAGTTCACAACTCTTACTCCTAAAAAGTTTGCCCTCACAGTTTTCTGGACCTGCGACTTCTTCTGCCTTGAGCTGTGACCCCTTGTGGGGCAAGCGTCTGCCAGCTCCAGGTAAGGACACTTGACTGAGGAGGTTTTTTTTTCGGGAATTAGCCCACCGGGCCCAGGTCACTGACCCACATCGGGGACTGGGGGGGCGAAAATGTAATAACAATCATAATAATAATACAGTCAACCCTCACTTTACGCGGTCCCACATTCCGCGTTTCCACGTTTACGCGGTGCCCTGCCGGAACCCAGGAAGCTCACATTCCGCGGTGCGTGTACCCCTTTACGCGGAGAGTGTCCGGCTCGACGCTATTTTTAGATTCGCCCCACCCGCCTGCTCCTGCCTCCTCCCTCCTCCACCCTCCTCTGCCTCCGCCTGGCCAAGCCGCGCGGTAAGGTTGCACAGTGCATGTCTCTGTTGCGTTATCACTGACGTCATATGACGTATCGGACTGTGATTGGCCATGCATCCCTACCTCCCTCCGCTGCTAGCTGTAATTGGTTTAAAGTAATATGACGTGTCCACCCGGGGGAGGGAGGTAGGGAGGAAAGACGACGCTTGACCTAGCCGCGGCAGTTTCATCCCTCCAGGCCATACCGTGTAATCGTGCATCCATTGTTCTTTAAAATGGCTTCCGCCGGACCACCACCCCCAGAGAGAAACCTTTCCTTGCCTAGACCCAGCTGCCCTAAGCCTAAGAAGACACGACGTTCCTTAAGCTACGAGGTGAAGTACAAGATCATCCAAGAGTTAGAGAAAGGAACAAGACAGGTTGATTTGGCGCGCCAGCATGGTGTTAACGAGTCTACGATCAGGACGATAAAGAAGGATGCAGCCAAGATAAAGGAGCACATGAAGATCACAAAGTCTACAGGTGCTTCTATGATCAAGTATTTTCACAACCAGGTGCTTCTCAAGACAGAAAAATTACTTGTGAGCTACTTGGTGCGTCAGGCGCAACGGAACATGGCCGTCGACACACGCTCTGTTAAGGAGTACGCACCTGAACTGTATGCTGCAGTGTCACGAAAGATGGGAATTACAGAGCCCAAACCCTTTAATGCTTCCTCTGGGTGGTTACAGAGGTTTAAGATGCAGAACAAGATCACCAATATAAACATTGGTGGTGAAGAAGCGAGTGCTGACCGTGCTGCAGCTAGGGAATTTCCTCCGTTTTTACGTGAGATTATGGAGGAAGGACAGTACACCGACGACCAGGAGTTTAACATGGACGAATCTGGTCTTTTTTGGAAAAAGCTACCTTCCAAGACCTTCGTTGTGAAGAATGCCAGCAAGATTCGGGGCCGGAAGATGCAGAAGGAGCACACCACCGTCCTGTTTACCACCAATGCCTCCGGTACCTGTAAGCTCAAGTTATCCGTGATCCACACAGCCCGCAAGCCGCACGCCTACAAGAACATGGACATGACCAAGCTAAATGTCCACTGGCTGACCGCACGTAAGGCGTGGATGTTCTCTACACTGTCCCTCTCCTGGTTTGATGACTGTTTCGTTCCCGATGTAAAGAAATTCTGTGAGCAACAGAATGTGCCATTCAAGATTTTGTTGCTGCTGGACAACACACCAGGACACTCGCCCCTACTGTTAGATCGTCACCCCAACGTAAAAGTGGTCTTCCTTCCTCCTAACACTACGTCTATATTACAGCCCATGGACCAAGAGTTAATCTGTAATGTAAAAGCTGCATTCTCAACAAAAAAATTCAAGCTCCTGAACGACTACACCAACACCAGGGAAGAGTTGCGTAACCTGAGTGACACCACCACCGATAGCAAGAGCGAAGAAGACGAGGATCAACAGTTGGCAGAGCAAAAAATACTTTTAAAACAATTCTGGAGAATATTTAACATCAAGAAAGCTGTGGACTTCTTGGTGGAGGCATGGGATCAGCTGTCTGTAGCAACTGTTCGTCACGCATGGAGACATCTGTTGCAAGGCATTCCGGGTGTAAGGCAGAGTCAATCTGTGACTGGTGCGGTTCAGACTGCTGCAGTAGCAGTGGACCTTGCCAGAGAAGCTGCGCAGAGTGTTACAGCTGCAGGCTTCTCCGAGACCACCAACGAGGACATCCTGGAGGTGATAAGGGATCCTGATGTGACTACCGACGAGATGGTAGATGATGATGACGTCAGTGAAGAGGCAGGTGGTGCGTCATCCCAAGAAGAACACCGCTTATCCCATAGTAATGTTAGGGGTGCCATCGAGTGTGTCGAGAAAATCAAGCTCCTCCTTTCCGACGACCATGACGCAAACAGGTATGAAATCTTCACTACCCAGCTGTTGCAGACTATGGAGCCCTACTTCAAGGTTTATCACCATAACATAAACACCAGCCGTCAGCAAAGCATAACAGAGTTCTTCGCCCGCAACCCACCACAGCCAGCCCAAGCCAGTGATAGTGACAGAGGTAGAGACAGTGAAGATGATTTTGAGGGATTTGTCAGGGAGGCCCTGACAAGTGTGGATGACAGTGATGGTGACTCACCTGAGGGCCAGTAGCCTGCCCTCTGCCTCGGAACCAGCCTCCATCCCCGTACGCCGACCCATCTCTTCTACTAACGTAAGTGTTCAACCTAACTTTTAGTTTTCCTAACCCAACCTTTATTTTTCCTAACTTAACCTTTATTTTTCCTAACCTAACCTCTTCTATATTACTTGTGTGTGCATACCATCATAAAGTTAAGATAAAATTTTTACTAAAACATAGTTGTGTGTCGTCAAAAAGTGGAGTTTGGGGGTCGGCCCGGTCTCTATTTCAATTAATCCCATATGTTATGTTGTTCACTTTACGCGTTTCTCACTTTCCGCGGTACCCTGTGGGTTATATTAACCGCGTAAAGTGAGGGTTGACTGTAATTCGGGTAAGTAAAATTTCTAATACAAAAATAAAAATAATAAAATAATAATGATAACAATACAATAATAATAATAATAATAGCATTTCAATAATAATAATAATAATAAAGAACCTTAAAGAAATGGTAAGAGAAACAATTGAGACCCTGTAATTGTGTGTAAATGAGGCAGAAAGTCAGATTAGCAACCCGGGACTTGGTCACAATTTTCGTGATGCCATATGGCAGCAGGGTCTACCATTAGACAATACATTATGCTTCCAATATCTTCCCAGGCGGTAGTACCTCCCTGTTTGGTAGCTGCCTATCTACCTACTACCTTGAGATGCTTATACAGCTCAATTAGGTTGCCCCTTGCCCGTCTGTAGTATAAGCTAGGCAAGTTCAAGGTAGCTGAGGTGCCGAAGTGCAGGCACTAGTCTGGTCATTGCTACCAAAGATTTCGGAAGTCAGAATTCAAGTTTCTAAAACTCGGTCTGCCGTATTCTCCATCTTAGTCATGTTTAGATGACAGTCACAAATGTGGAAATAAAACTATAGGGATACAAAGTACAATATCTTGGTCACAGCATACTTTAAAGTCCACGAAAAATGTAAAATTACACCATGCTGCTTCAAGAAAATTGCTTCTACAGGTATATGTACCAGATATCAAAGCAAGTTCTTTTTATTTAATTTTAATGCAGGGGGTCTGGCTGGAAAGTTAGGTAAGGTTAGCTAGGTTTCTTTGGTTAGGTTAGGTTCTGAGCATTGTCATGTAGTTTTTATTACTATTATCCAAAGAACATGTGTGGAAAAAATGAACAAAATCGAAAATTCCTTCTGGTGTTAGCCGTCTGCTCCTTTACTGAAATATATACACATTTTAGATATTTACAGCCTTAATTACTAAACAATTCATCATCCCGGGTAACCAAGTCCTCAGTCATCATACCAGATCATATAACATGCCCAGTACTTGCCAACAGTGCGTAACAGAGATGTGATCGATCGTCCAAGCGGCTAACGAGCCTATCAGTGGTGAAGAGGATAAAAGTAGAAGTAAAAAAAGTATGTAATATCCAAGACAAAATCAGCCAGGTAGGGGTAATTCCTGTTGGCCTTAGTGACCACTTGATCACCTACTACAGCAGGATAAAGATCAGAGGTAAGATATGGTTCATGAAGAATTACAATAAAAAGTTTCAAAATAAGCGGGAAAATGTTGATTGGTCGCATGT